GACAGCACCCTGTCCTATTGTTTTGCCGCAGGCCACTTTAGTTTGGTAGACGCTGACTTCTATCTATGTTGTGCTTTGTTGGTTCTGCTGAGAAAGTAAAACTTAGTGAGCTATGGGCACCTTTGAATGTCTGTCCCCTTTGGCAAGACAAGACAAAGCAGACATACAAAGACACTACTTTTTAAATGATGTCTGTGTCTCCTCTGTCTTGCCTTGCTAAGAGGGACAACCCCCCTCGTCTTCTCGGGAGAAACATAGTTTAGGAACATGACTGAATTATCAGTAAAAACTATACTGCAGAAACGAATGGAAATGTACCCAACCAATGGAGGCAACTGGTTGGGCGGATTGACTGTCTTGTAGTCAGCAACAAGTATCTCCTAGAGATAATGTTGGTACACATTAGCAGCTCCAAAAGATGAACAGGTGACAAACATGAAAAAGAGTGAAGTCAGAGAAGAGGCAGAATAGACTGAATTTCTAGCTTGAGTTCACAGAAATGAACGATAACGAGCAGGTCTCAACATACAAGAGGCTCTTAGTACCCACCAGGGTATAAAAAAGGGAAAATCCAGTGTTGGATTGATGTTGATGGTAGCTGCTTAAAATGTTAGGACCTTGGAGAACTGGAGTATCCCTACACCAGCTAAAGGCTCAGATAATAAAAATCTCTTTGTTTTTCAAGGCTTGGATTCATCTTGGCAGCAGGTATCCCGGATGATACACGTGGTCATGGATCTCTGCAGAATCTACTGTCTCGATTTTACGTCAATCCTCCTCCGTTTTTACCCTTTAATTAGCTCAACAGCAGAGTTGGAAGCAGAAGGGAGTTGAAACAATCAAAAGAGCCAGGATCCAGTGCACACAGGCCTAGGGAAGAACAGAACCTGCCCCCACTGACCCTGCTGAGGTGAGGTAATGGGGGGTAATAAACTACAATGAGGCCCTGGGCTGATGTCACCCAACACCTATGATGTATGTGAATGGTGATCCTCGATTTAGGGGTTTACCTCATCATGATGTCCCAACCTTTGTCAACGGAGATGCATTATTCACCCTACTTACACAGCAAAAGAAAATCAGAAACCCTGCTCCTTTAAAATAACAGAAGGTGTCACTTTGAACTGCAGAGGATCTTCATCTTTGCTGAGCAGTACTTCAAACTACATTCTTCAGAAAACTTGTACTACAACTAAATCCCTGATTGTCTTTGTAACTGAACATAGTGAACTGTCAACCCATAGTGTGGCTTCTTTTATTTTGACAACTGAAAGACAAATTGTTGTCACTGTGGACCTCTCAAAACTCACAGACAATCCCCCTGAGATGAATCACAGCAGAGGAGAGAAACAAACTACAAACATGTGCAGTAACAAACTAACCTCCCTCCAAAATATAAAATTATACGCATCATGAATATTCATGCAAACATAGTTGGGCAGATTTTGAAAACCACATTCAAAGATCCCTTCAAAATATTTCAATTTCTGTATAACAGTTCTGCAAACACAGATTTTTCTTCATTCTTTAATGTCTGAGTGTGTCTACTAAAGGACTTCCAGCGGCTCTGTTCATAATCCGTAAAGTTGTGTCATTATTATTAAGTACTATTTATAATACTTAATTATCAGACAATAAACATAATTTTCTGGCTGAAATGTGTCCAAAATGCAATCTAATAAAACATTATTGTCAAACCCACCATCAGTGTGGTTAATTAAGAGTGTGAGAGCTGCACAGCCAGTACTGTTCAGCCGGCAGAAAGCATGCTAGCAGATTAGCATCACCAGCAATAATGCAAACTCCTCTCCCTCACTGGTCACGTGACCCTCGCCTTGCAGGTTGTTGCCCCAAATATTTCCCTAAAACGCCACCAAGCCTGGGGAGCAGCGCTGTTTATGGATAAACTCGGGGAACAAAAGTCCCCTCCCTTGTTAATGTTCCTTTTAGGTGATGTAAACTATTCTAATCCAGTCCACGTCTTTTTGTCAAATGTCACCTCGGAGTCTGCTAGCTGTCCTTACAGATTTTGTGACTTTGCTCTTCTTCTTATTCCTAAAAAAACATTAGATTACAATTTGGACACATCTTGCCTTGTCGAGTCGACACCCATGGTTTTAGTCACTCTTAATCTCTCTCTGTGGGCTCTTCTCCCCTCCAGCATCTCACGGTCTACTTTCTTTAATATGTCTGAACATGTGTGATGTTTAAACTCATGTACTCATACACTGCACTGCATGTGTGAGAGCAAGTGTCTGAGTGTGTTTTTTGTGCACTTGCAGGAGTGGATGATTTGTCCCATATATAAGAGATATTGTCATCCCTTTTTTAGAGGAAATTAGGTCTCTGGTCTGACAGTTGCTGCCGCCGCCGGCTGAGCTTTTAGTTGTCTCTTCTGTCAATCCCATTTGTTTAACTTTCCTTTCCTTTTCTCCTCTCCTCTCCTCTCCTCGCCTCTCCTCTCCTCTGTCTGTATCCCGATTCCCTCTCTATGCATCCCTGTCCTCTTCTGTTGTGTGTCTCAGCCTCACTCTGTGCTCTGCTGTGACAGTTAACAGAGGTCACTGTTTACTCTCATTTATCAGTCAATCATCGCTCGCTGCAGGGTTCCAAACACAGCTATTTTTCCATCCTCCTTCCTTCTTTCAACATCACTGTTTCTAGGACGATGACGAAGACAATGGCATCTAATTAGGGGGTGTTAATTCATTAAACTACATAGGACCTGTTTTCTGTTTAATATAATTTCCTTCCATAAATCCAATCCTGCTTAATTTCTCAAATATGCTGTGACTGACATGATATTATTATTTTTGTCAGTGTGACAAGTTATTAGTAACGGGGCTGGCGACAACATTATGTGGTCAGTGTAATAAATCATCAGACAAAGGGACTCTTGAGATATTATTTTGTCCATTTGGTAAATTGTTAGATATGAGGAGTGACAAGATTTTATTATCTTGTCAGTGTGATAAAATATTTGACGTAGATCACTAAATGCTCAGCAGGAGCATTATTCTGAGATGCTCCCTTGATGTGACCCATTTTAGATGTAAATTCCAACATTTTTCTAAATCTTTGTCTTGATCTTTGCTCGCTATTATCATAATAAAAAGCACAAGATCAAATTTGGATTCTCTTAAGCTGAGGTAATTCAAGTGCCCCTCCACCCTCATTTGCCAAACCCATCTGATGCCTGTTAATTAGCATTTTTATGAATAAATAACAGGTTGATCGGAGCGACTCTCTAAATATCGTGCATTTAGAGTCATTTTTGAGCCAAATGCATGTACCATTTCACCAAACTTTAATATATAAGGCCTGGATGTGTTCTCTGTGCTATGTGGCCCATTAGGTGTTTTTTGGGCACAGTCTTGGAGAATGATTAATTCATCAGTGTGCTGTCTTTAAATATGAAGGTGCCTGCTTCTATCTTGAAAACACAACCCCCAGAAGGAGGACTTTCTTTTTGAATAAAAATGATTAACAAGCTTCCTGTTTAACCAAGTGATCGCTGATAAATTTTTCGGTGCAGTTAAACAACAGGACACGCAATAGTTTGAAGGAGAAATATCTGCAGTGACAGGATGTGTATAAGAAATGAGGAAATGCCATCAATGATTGGTGATCTTCTCCAAACTCAGCCATACATCACACAGAGAACAAGAATCAAAAGCACACACTGTTCGCCAATGGTAATTTATTATGGCAGCAGGCCCATATGCGATGAACATCTTGAGGGGCAGAGGGATGACTTGCCTTACATAACTGGTAAAATTGGCATGAGCAGAAAGCAGAGTAGAAACCCCATAATGCAGGGGTTCACACGTGTTTTCAGCTGCAGGATAACATCCCCGTTAGGCCCCAGACCGCCTTTTAATCATTTTATCTGATAGGTTTGATGAGATTTTTGTTGATGGATGTGGTTTGATACAGGATTAGACATCTGGATATCAAAACTACCTTCCTATTAGATTCTCTCACTGCTTGATGTTCAAATTCAATTATAACTGAATTACAGGTTTCCTTATTTTGTTGGGTGAATCCCCTCTGGGAATGAGTCAAGGACCCCAAAGGGCGCCCTGCGGTACACCACTTTCAAAACAGCCACATTGATACAATGTCTAAATCTATTCCCGTCAGACCGTGGAGAGTCCTCATTATCCTGCCGGTGATGTTACCATAAAACAGAGAAACATTTTTATGTGCCCCGTCTCTCCTGATATGGGGCCTGCAGGAATATCATAATCCAATCATGACTCCAATAAGACTGTGTCTCATTCTAACTAGATCATGGCCTCTGTATACCTTCGCTGCTCTTCTCATTGAGGTTTTCGCGGTACACACATACAAACAGGCTAAGAGCCGTGTCCTTTTTTTGGCTCAGAGCCGAGCAACATTGGCCCTCCGTTCCATCTCTGCTCTCCACCGCCTGACATCCAAGCAACACTTCCTCCTCACACTCCCCCATCCCCACCTCCTCCTCTTCCCCTCTCCTCCCAGGGATGCTACCATAAAAAGGAGTAACATTTTATGTGCCCCCACCCCTCCAACACACCCACCCAACCGCTACCATCTCCTCTCCAGGGGCATGTGCAGGAGTATTATTATCTAATCACAGCTCTAATAAGACCAAACAAGATCCTGGGCCCTTCTAACCCACCCATGTACCCTCCAGGCTGAGAGTGGCCATTACCCTCCACACTATCCCAGACCTCCCCCCCACCCACCAACCAAACCTCTGGTTCCCAACACACACACACACCACCTCTTCCTCTCTCGCATCTCTGCACGCCCCACATACATCAGTATGTCTTTAGCACTGGCCAGGCTGTACAGGCAGTGAGAGGAGAGACACGGTATTAGTATTCAGAGCACAGGGAGGAAAAAAAGGAGAGGGAGCGGGTGAGCAGGCAAGTGAGAGAGAGAGAGAGAGAGAGAGAGAGAGAGAGAGTGAGAGGGAGGGGATAGTGAAATAGAGAGGAGAAAAAACATAAGGAGGGGGGAAAATATAAGAGAGGAATACAGGAAACGGGAGGGAAAAGAGGGGAGGGCAGAGATATCATATTGTTCATTTCTCCCTCTCAGTCTGCCATCCCGGTTGCGGGGCTTATTGCTCGGTGCGTCTTGGAGAGAAGAGAGAGAGAGAGAGAGAGAGAGAGAGAGAGAGAGGAGGGGGTGGACTGAGCGAAAGAGGGCGGAATGCCCCTTTACAAGCGTCGCATCTGACTAAAACAGCGGAGAAGCTCGTAAATCGGAAATTGGACAGAGAGGGTGACAGTGGCTTCTGCAACGCCAAGGTAGGAAGACATTCCCTTTGTTACTTCTGTAGCCAACATGCATTCGGGTCTGTGATATCTGCGAGGTGTGCGTTATTCGCATCATATCTCCTTTGATCCTGCATCCCGCACTGGGCTCTGCTGGATATGCCCTAAATCTAGCAGCATGTGTCTGTTTTCCATAAATATTTAATGTATATTATTCGTGCATCTCCCTGGCTCTTCATATTGCATTCTGCCATTAGGAGGTATATGTTTCGAGTATATAGTGGGGATGCATGTTGTGTGGAGGCAGCCTGTACAAGGCTGTATGTAGGCTGCACTATCCCGTATAACAGATAGCAGACTCGTATCTGTATTGCAAGTGTATCAATGGCAGCTATCCACACTGATGAGGATGATTTAACTTTTTTTCCACGCAAACGCTATTAGATAGAAGACGAACAGACAGTGGGGTGCGCGCACGAGCACGCAGAAAGCACACAGAAGACAGGTTGACGTGCGTAAGACGTGCGTAATTCTCCCTCCACCCACACCCCCGCCACCCCACCCACTACCCCCACCCCACTCCCCCCTCAACCATCAAAGGCACAGTTGCTCTGGCTTCCCACCACAGAGAACCATATTTATGCAAATGGACAGGGGAAAAAAATAAAAAATCAACCACCGAGACACACTGACTCACCGACTCTGACATAGCGGTAGGTGAAAAATGAAGTGAGGGCGCCCGTTGTCTGTGTGTGTGTATGTGATTACACTCCCTGTCTGTAAATAGGTCCTGCTCTGCAGCTCCACTGGCTGTGCAAGAGACAGGAAGAGCAGCACCAATATCCCAGGGTTCCTGGCTGGCCACTTGCTCTCTATTTCCTGTCCCATGTTATAGATAATTTAGACACTTGCAGCTCCAACAGGCCCAGAGTGGCGGAGAGCTGTGAGAGCCGGAACAGCAACCTTTGATATGTGTGAATGTGGGATAGAAATAGGTTGAGATAAAAGGAGACAGTGTCTGCCTGGATGTGAACGAGTGTTTGATTGCATGTTTATAGAGATATATGGTCTTAAGCAGATATTAAGGCCGTCTCTTTCCCACATCATGTTATTTATTTGCTGAAAGGGTGTCCAGGAGCTATTATAGGACGGCCAAATTGGAACAACCTCGAGGCAGAGCCTCAGCAAAGCTATTACCTCTAGTCAATAGACATTAATATCCCCACGCTCAATCTTGGCCTCATACAGCGCCGTCTCTGTCCCGGCGAAACACACTACCGCTCTCCTAGAGTAACCAAAAAGATGTGTTGTAGTAGCCCTATCTGTTTACCCCTGTGCATCAATCCGTCACAGCCGAATGAGCAGAGAGGAGCGATGATAGCATTGTCTCGGGCAGACATGGCTTTGGCCTTGAAAGGAAGTGATGCAAAACAAAAAGGGAGGATATGCCAGCACCGGTGGAGAGAGGTCATGACCTCTATGAATCACGGATAGTCCTGACAAATGGCGGATGATCTAAGGGTACACTAGTACATCGATTTGAGATGGTACACAACATGATACGGCCCAGCAGGGTACAGCAGAGCAGACAGCATCAAAGTCTGGAACAGAGAGGAGCAGGTCACAGGGCCAAGTCGCCAGTCTGTAGAGTACAGCAGCAGACTGGGAATGACACCTTTTTTAAAGGAAATACTGTTCATGAAAAAATTGCCATAAAGGCGTAGACATGTGGAGTGTGAAACTCGCTTAAACACTTAAGCAAATTTGTAGACTTTAAAACAAAAAAACAACAACAAAAGCACTCAGGGCAAGGATGAGAGGTTCAATTAAAGATGACTTCCAGGTACAGATGAAAACAAAAGAAAGAGCGTGGCAGCGGATAGGGCGACTTGAAAGCAGGTTCAGTGAGATCCGACTGAAACATCCTATTAGGTATATCCAAAGGATTAGTCTCCTTTGTCTACAAAAGCATTATGTTCTCACGCAAATAAAGGGTCTGACGGTCCTCAGTTCCATTTTGCAATCATGAAGGTGTTCAGTTTCTTCCCATAAAAATAGTTAGCAATAAATGTAAATTCCTATTAATGAAGAGAAAGGAGGCGAAGAGGAGGAGATTTTTATGTAAAGTGAATAAGGAAAGGATCTTAAACCTGCCTGATTGTTAGGCAAACGCTAAAATGAAACTCAGAGGTATTACTACGACTGCTTCTACTGCTACAACTAATAATATTGATCCAGTTCTCTCTGAACTGGAAAAGCTAAAGTTGTTGCAGGCGCTCAACATGTTTTATTCCATGCAGAGACAAATATATAATTTGACTAGAAAATGAAATGCCAAATGATGATATGGGGTTGCAATAGATCACAGGTTTGTGGTAAGCATCTTCTGCTTCTTATTCAGCAGACAGCAGCGTTTCAAATGCCTTATCACTGTAATTCCCAAATCCAGCTGAGGTGTGTGATTCATCCCTCAGAGACAGATTGCACATACAGATTTCGGATTTCAGTCGCACTCTCTAACATGATCCTTGTTACTGAAGAACCTGCCCCCTGGGTTTTATCAAATTCACATTCGCCCCCTGCTCGAGGATTTTTGTTTGTTGCTGTTTTCAGTGGAATTTCTGAGCAACGGAGAAAACCACTGGAATTCTTGTATGAGGAGTGCTGAGCCAAAAAATAAGAAATCCAATACTCAAAAAAAAGAGTGAGGGAGTGTATTTGATATTAGATAAATATTTATTGGTGTATGCCCCAGCAGTAAAAAATGGGAGTACTGTTTCGAGTTGTTTTTTTTTCTGCACACTTTTTGGATGTTCTTCCTCCCTCTTATTTGTATTGGATTTGTCGGATTCTTTTTCTCCGCTCTCCGCGCACCTGAGGACGGCTCCAAATCTGTCCTTTCTGTGCAAATACAAGAATGATCCCTTCATTATGAGGGGATACAAACATAAACGCCTCATCTCCTTCATCGCCTATAAGCTAGATTGAGGATGAAACGGCTGGACTGAGCCATTAAAAAAGAGACGTTTAGCTGATGCTCTTATCCTTAGTGATTAACAGGAGGGGCCGGGGCAGGGGCTCAGTGTCTTGGTCAAGGACAACAGTGGAGGGTTGAACTCGGAGCCTCTTTCTCACTGATATACCCTTGAATTTGGGTTTATGTCTATTGACGTCCTTTTCTCTGGTGAATTGGCCTTTTTCCCCCCCAGATTTAGCTATAGATCTGATTGGCCTGCTTCTCCCATGAGTGGGCGCTGACCTCCTCCGATTCTCCTCTTCTTTCTGTTGTGTGATTGGACGGGACCCCCCGTATACTGATTCGCCTTTCATCCTAGTGTGATTAGACTGTGACCTTGCCGTCCTGTCTCCTCTGACCCGTCGGACAGTGACCTTACTGGGAGACTGGTCTGTGTTGTGGTCTATTCGTTCCTTGAGAGTATTGATCCCAGGCAGAACAGCAGTCAATGGAGCGTCTGTGGGAGGTTTAGTGTTGCTCTGTACACTACAGTAGGAATGTGCATTTCTGGGCATGGCACTATCGGAGTGGAATGATTCGTCGACATGTTTCTGAAGGCACATTTATCTGTGAATAACTAGTCTCTGTAAATATTTTGCTTGTGGTAAATTGCATCCCCAAACCCTTGATTACCATTGTTGCTGTGTCACCCTCGCCGCCAGCTTCCTATGTTTTTTTTTCTGCCCTTCTCTGCTCCAGTTTTTTTTCTCCTCTCTCTTTATCTGTCTCGCCACCAATTTAATGTCAGCATCTCTTATCCCTCTATCTCTCCGTCTCCCTCTTCCCCTGTTTCTTGCTAAACAATCGTTCTTTCTTTCTTTTCCTGTCTTTCTGTCTCCTCCATTTTTTCTTTGCCTCTCCCTCCATCCTGATGCTCTCACTGGCATTTGAGGCGGCCAGTTTTGTGCCAGACAGCCATTCCTCAGATTGAGATATCCTGGGTTTTAAAGTCACTCAGACAGATTTACTATCTTAATGGGAGTGAGTGGTGGGGGGCAAGGGGAGGGCTGGTGTAGGATGTTGGGTCTGGATGGCGTTTTGATTCGCTAATTTCAGATTCCTTTCTACAATAGGTTGAGCTGAGATGGACGGATAAATAGACTGCAGTTTCCCTTAGACTGACAGACTATCCTAATGTGACAATCAGCTTCTCAAAAGAGACAGAGACGGAGGGCGAACAAGAGAGGAAAAATGTGTTCCTGTCTTCAAGAGGAGATGGAGAAAACTAGAAAGGGAGTGGAAGCATTTCTTGTTTCGGATCTTGTTCAGAGTGAAATATGTCTTTGCCTAATGCAGTGATTGATTGATGGGTGGGAGACAGATGGACACATAAGGAGCACTTTGGTAGGGAGGTGCCACTCAATACCCAAAGACTGACTCTGACACTTTACAGAACAACATACATCAAATGATCAATAGTCCTTCCTCTGTCCGAGGAGACACCTTGCTTGAGAAATAGGTCCGCTGCTGCACAAGGACAAAACAGCTTGGTCGAAAAGTGAGCTGACCTCACACCATGAACATTGTTTAGCCAGTGATTTATTTCCCAATCACACCACGACTTGTACAAGATATTTGCCAAGACATATTCAATACCACGGTTTTTGAAATGGATCTGTATTATTAGACACAACTTTGCATACAATCTCCTCAGTCAGAGTCCCTGGAGACTCACACACACTGTGAGAAACTAGAGTTTGGGCATTGACCTGCTTTTATTTAGACAGAATGAGTTCAAAAATAAAGACAGTATGCTAAAGAAGTCTAGTTTCTCGTGGATGAAAGGATAAGGAGCACAGGCACATAAGGCAGGCAGACTTAATATATCTAATTATACCTCCGGTTCTTCACTTTGCCATTGTCCTTCTTGTTGTGTCTCTTCACCTTACTGATTGATTCTAATTGTTTTTTCAGGGGATGTTGGAGAGCTTCAAAAGAGTCTCCACAAATGTGACAGTGACTTGCAGTCCACTCCGATGTGTTGGAGAGACCACGGAAACAGATGTGTCCCACCGTTTACCGTGGAGCTAGATGACTAAGAGCTCAACTCTGTTCCCAACTTACACTGAAGACAAAAAGTCTGCAGGCTCCCGTTTCTGGTCTTGGAAACATTAGGAAAATAACAAGCTAAAGGTTATGCATGCACTGCAGGCGTAACTTCGCATTCCTCAGCCAAATCTATTTGTAAAGAAAATTTTACATGTAGAGTGTCTCCGCTTTGGCTTGCAAATTCAACATGGCTCAGAACCTCGAGAGTCAAGTTCAATAAAGGTAAAACACACAAACCGTGACTTCATGACATTATTAAAGCTAATGAAATGCTTTAATTTGGATTTTTTTTCTTCAGTACAATGGATCTATATAAAAAAATGTAGCTAGTGGTTCTTCCAGGCAATAGAATGAATCTGTTGAACAATTTGAAAAAACATAACCTATCATTATTACATTCCTTCCTTCTGCTTCCTTGTTTGTGGTTCCTTCAGCATGTTTGTGTTTTAGGGGCTCAAAACAAGAGAGCTTATAATTATCTAAATTACTCTGTAATTGCAGTAAGGACTGTTTTGCTTCGAAATATTATATTAAGTTTCAGGATGACTGACCCTTTGGTCAGTTTTAAACACCAAAATCATCCCTATATCCACTGGTGATTGTTGACAATAGGGCTCCCTGCAATTAAACAGGCAACCTGTTGAGTGAGTGACATTTAAGTAATAGAAATTAAAAAATTTAGCTTTTACTATGTAGGGTGTCCATTTACACATTTTTGAAAATAAAATATTAACTCAGTACATTCACTGCAGCGAGGTTTATTTTAACGTATAATCATCATTTTCTTCCTCCATCTGCCAGACTATTAGGTACAATGTACAATGTACTACCTTGTAATTCAAAACTGGATTAAATCTATAGTATAATAACATTTACATTAAGTGATACTTTTGTGTTATATTTGTGATATTAACATGCAGTTAAATAAAATGTAATGTTAAAGGATTGTTCGTAGTGCTGAACCCATGAAATAACTCCCAACTCTGCACAGTTCCAGCTTTTGGCTGCTTTTAAATTCAATTCAATTCAAATCTTAATACTTTATCTGTACCTCAAGGGGTAAGTTAAGACTCATTAACTAATTGGTATAGGTCTTCTGGCCACACATAGACCGTATGGTGATTTTTGTTTTTGCCCAGGAGCCTTCTGCTGCCAGCCCTTTACAATGGAGGTAAATGGAAATTAATTTGTGGCCCTCAAAGCACTGAAAATGTAAAATTTAAAAAATGCAACAGCCATGTGTCCTGCCAGAAATTATGCCCTAGTAAATGAGGATAATCCACAGACCTTGCTGTCAGCAGTTTTTTTGCCAGGAGTATTTTATAACATAAGAAAATGTAAAATTACCGATAATAAGGCCTGTGATTCTTTGTAGTGGCAGATGGTTCACCATTGTGGCTAATAGCCAGATAAGTGGTAAATGACTAAATGTGTTTTTTCATAATATGGGTGAACCTTTAAGGTATATCACAAATCTGTTGGACCTTAGCATTTAGCTTTACTTTCCAACTATCAACTTTTCTCTCCTCTTGCATGATGCCAGTTGCCTAGTATCACTCTAAATAATGTATGCTAAAGCGATATTATGTAGCACCGGAGCCAATGATCTATCAGGGACACGCTGATGGTTTTGGCATCAGTGTTCTCACTTAATGGTTAAGGTGACCAATGTGCCAAAAACTTGATTTGTATACTTTTATGTCCTTACACTCACATTGCCACATTTCTCTCCCTTTATCTCTTCCAGGGAAAGTGAGAGGGGTGGGTGTCGCTCAGTCATACATGGGCACGTCAGTCTGGTCTCTGTGATCCAGACCAAGACACCCTGCAGAGCCCCTCCAGTTCTTCCTTTATTGCCACTGCCCCCTCTGCCTCCTCTTTCTCAGTTCACACCTTGTAAAAGGTGGACGGGCCAACCCTCTACATACCTGAGCGCCGTCCGATAGGTGAGGGCGGCGAGGGCTGCGCTGTCATTGGCTGACTGCTGGTGAGAGTGCGATGCAGATTGGAGGATGTCGGGGGACTGGGATGAAGACATGTGTAAGAAGGCGCTGGTGTTGGTGGAGGAGCTGTGCTTCCACTCCCCGAGAGGTTACAGCCAGAGTGAACGCTGCGAGGAGTTTACCTTCCTGCTGAGAGGTCGAAACAACAGGCTGGACACAGGTAACTGACACACCTGGAGCTTCACATAAATGATCTTGACAATGTTTTCATTTGTCTAGACTTTTCAAAATATCTTGAGAATGAAGGAAGTTTCCCCCCTGATTTTCAGCAGCTTATAACAGCTATACTCTGAGGCACTAATGTTAGCAAGCTATTGTAGTCACCTAGTGTGTTAAACTAAAGTTTTGGACCAGTTAGAATTTTGTCCTTATGATGGCGCCAGCTGGAAAGTCAGGGGATCACCAAAGTCTTAACAGTTCATCCTAAGGGGGCCATAAATGTCTGTACAAAATGTCATGGTAATCCTTCTAAGCCATACTGACACTGCTGTTCCACCAGCATGGTTAAAAACTCATGATTCACGTCAGTTCAAATATAATCCAAAGAAGTGAAAAAACGTCCGTGTTCAAACGTCCGCAGAAAACCTCTCAAACATCTCCTGCAGAATAAACCAGTCCATCTGTCCGCATACTCAGTGTTTTCCATCATTAAAAAACTACTACAATTCACTTAGATTTCAGTTTAACATATCCAAGTGGACCACAGCTGCTGTACTCGAGGAAACTAGTGAACAAGGCTCAAAAGGAATTCATTTCATTTTTAGTATCCCATTATGGTCAGAATCAGGCTTTTACACCCTGATAAGAACACAATACTAGGCAGACATCTGATACTTAAAATAAGGTACGTTTTGTCATGAAAGCGGTAAGAGATTCAGAAGACTCAGAATATTATCTATCAAAAGCTTCAGCAGAAAAATGTCAGTATTGCCTTATCAACTGCACACACATACAGCAACATGACCCATGTTAGACTTTAAGGTATGAGGAGGCAAATGTTAAGAGGAGTGCTCATGTTTAAATGTAGTTAGAAGTACTGTGCACTCAGGACAACAAACCATGAAATATTAACCTGCAAGATTGAAGTGGCTCCCATTTCTTTTACAAGTCCCAAAAGAGTCTCAGTAGAATTCTGCAATTGTTATCACAGGACTGGATTACCAATATATTTATCTTACCAAACTGAGTAGGTGCATCATGCTCACCGTGGAGTCTATTGTGTGCAAAGTATTGTGTGTGTGTGTGTTCTCATTGAAGCATTTGGAAGTGCAATGCGCTATTATGCAGATTAGCGTGGATATCTGTGGCTCAGTGTAGATTAGCCTGGATTGGCTGCATGTTGCCTCTGGAGATTTGGATGGTTCTGTGAAGAAATGTCACGCCATGGTTTTAGGCGTTGGCCCCTCACTTATACCAGCTGTGATTTTTCGGTGTTTGCTGACGGAAGTCTCAGAGCCCTCCTAGGACCGCGACCGCCAAAAGCTGTCAGCGAATGGCTTGTGTAAGCAGCGGAGATGTGTTTGATGTGGAGCAATGTACGAGTCCCCCTGGGCTTGCATCAGTCGCTGATTGACAAGTAGTCTCAGTCCCTCATCACGGTGCACTTCAGAGGCCTCATACCATCCCACCTACCTGCCCGCTGACTTGCTTTTTATGCTTTGTGGATTAGCGATGGATCTTTGGCAGGATCAGTCCTCGGGAAGGCACAGTGACTGCCCTAAAGAGAGACAAATGGAGGAGAGTGGTTTGGCCCCCGACAGTGCCCGCGCACGTTTGATCACAGCCGTGTCTTATCAGTGCACCCTGATCTGCCAACCACACACAACCTATTCCTCTGCCTCCTCGCTTTGTTTTTCCCCATCCAGATCAATACATTAACCTTTCTCATCCTTAAACCCCTCCCCTCTTTAGGTTTCGCTCTAAATCATTGTCAGCTTGTTTTCCTCCATCTCTCTGTTCCTGGGCTCTTACTCTCTCTACCATGGCCTCTTTGGTTTCTACTCTTTCACACATGGCGTGGTAGTAGCATCGACTTTATCAGCTCCCCCCCCTCCCTCGTCCTCCTCCAAGGGAAATGAAAAGGGGGAATAAACCCAGTCAGCTTATATGTCCATTTCAACATGTGCACCAATCTGTTTTCAACCCTCTCCCTGTCTGTCCTGGCCCTGCCGGCCATTCTGTGGTTTGGATCCTTATTTTTCATTCCCCTTCATCACTACTGTCCTACCTTTATTTTCCTCCCACTCCATCACTTTACCCTCCTCCCATCTCCTGATCTCCATCGTCATGTTCTCTCCTGCCTTACTTCCATCCCCTGCTCCTCACTTCCCACCCCGTCGTGTTCTCCACTGAGACAGATCGATGTCCCCCTCTCCCATCCCCCACCTTCGCGGCCCCCCAATCATATCTTTTGAACAAGTGCTGATTAATGACATACACAGACTGATGAATAATTCACCAACGCGAGAGCGAGGAAGGGGAGGCAGAGAAGGGGAGGGGGGAAAGAAGGTAGGGGTGACAAACAAAGAGACAGTCTTTGAGGAGAGGAAGAAAGTCAAAGCGTGCAGAGGCAGACAGCATGGGAAAAGAAATGACAGCGAGGAATGAGGGGTGTTTGAGGGGATTATATAGAAGAGAAAGCGAAAGAGAAAGAGAGGGAGGGCGGGTGGAGACAGACGGCGAACCGAATTCCAGAAGATGTACCCCAGGGCTGGAGGATTGGCTGCTGTTGTCTTGTTTTTACTCATTTGCTCTTAGTCTTGTTGTCAGCCTCATACAGATACAATTTCATTCTCTTTTGTGTGATTTAACAGTGTTTATGTCTTTGTCATGCCCATTAAGACTTTCTGAGTCGAAGTAAATTGAAGGAAAAGGGGGTTAAAGAAAAGGAGGCCTCTGTGTGGATCTGGTGGGGGGTTCAGGAAACGTTTTCCTCTGACAGTAAGGCAGCGCGGTTCTACACAAAGGTGATGTTTGGTCTGCCTACAGACAGGAAGGATGGTTAATTGGAGGCCCTCTGGTCTGGACGGAGCCCAAGATGGTGAGAGGAAAGGTGGGGAAGCATACTCGATTAGAGAAATCTGCACACTGTATCGTAATGAGTCTTCTCGGTCTACACACAACTCATGAATATTCATGTTCAGGGCTCTGGGCCTACAGTTCATTTTGGGCTGTGATTGGTCCTTTTGTCAAGACAGTCATCAGACCCAAAACATGCTATTTATAAAGAGACTTCAAATGGCTCAGGATAATTATAAATATTCATTGTATATTTAGTCTATTTATTTATAAATATTCATGGAATATTTATAGGGTATTTACAAATTTATGAATTCATCATGAATTTACTTCACCATAGGCTCCGACACGTGCAGTTGTGCACTTCCAAACCGTACACAGATCTACAGAAGTTCCCTAGCTGTGGAGCTGATGTCGACTCTCTTCCTCCTCTGCTCTCTTTGACAGAGGCTGTTGCTGGAGCTGTCCAGCAGACTGGTGCTGAAACGGCGCTTTTCTTTTATTCTGTGCACTTTTTCATTCGGATGAGTCATACTCCACCCTCCCCAACACCCACATCCTCTACCCCCCATATCCACACACATCCACACACCCACCCACCCACCCCTCAGATACAGTCCTTGAGCCCTCACGGATTAAAAAGCTAATAACCATGAGGAAATGCTGGATGACATTGCATAGAGACATCCCTGTGGGTGTTGTGGTTGGTTTTTTTTATTTATTTTTTTAGCTGTTGAAGTCTTTTTTATCATCTCTTAACCTTCTTCTCCCTTCCCTCCATGTCTTCCTCCGGTCCCCTGTAGAGATCTCTGTCAGTCTGCTGTCGGTCATCGTGACATTCTGTGGAATCGTCCTCCTCTCCGTCTCCCTCTTCGTCTCCTGGAAGCTCTGCTGGCTGCCATGGCGGGACAAGGAGGGCGGTGGCCTGAGCCTGACGTCGGGGTTGCTGCCCGGAAGCGCCGGCGTCGGAAGCCTCGGAGGCACCGGCGGCGCGTCGCTCTTACCCCCACTGCTGCAGAGGAAGGAGGGCCACTCCTCTTCCTCGCTCTACCCTACCTTGGGCCAGCAAGGCCAACACCACCCTCATTTCTCTGACCTGGTGGGGCTTGAGAGGGGGGAGGTCGGAGGTGTGGTTGGGGGGCCGCATGAGACCCAGGAGCACTCCTACCTGGACATGGACTCCTACCCCAACAATGCTGGTGAGAGAGGGAGCTCTTAATCCCAGTCTGACTGTAAGAGTAATGTAATGCCTCGGTCAATAACTTCTCATTTAATATAGGGTTAGAGTACTGAATTTAATACATTTACCTATGTACAGTAAAAAATAATTTATCTGTCCTGCAACAGTGTGATGAATGCTGACCATTACTGTATATATAAATGGGGTTTCTTTCAGTTGCTACATTTAAGGAATATTACTTTTTCAAGGCCTAGTCTTTTACTGCATATACTTAGTTATACAGAAGGAACATTTCGAGAGAGAGAGATAAACTTTGAACTGAATTTACAATTACCACAAATTACAGCTTTACTTTCATTAAAGGATTAATTTGTTTATTTCTCAGAGCAGCACACTGCGCGGAGACATGTAATCGCCTAAAATAAAGGCTGCTGTGTTAGCACGCAGTTGCTCCAAACATTACAATGCCTCTTCAAACTCTGCTTTGGTCTCTGCAAACCCTTCTGTGAAAATCTCGCTCTTTAGCTGCAAAATGTTCTACTTTCTCCACCAGCTAGTTTTACCAGAGCGTGTTTGCAGAAAACAGCTGCCTGAAACCACCCAATACAAAGCTGATGAGCAGTGAAACTGAACCAAACAGTAAATGTGCCATGAAACAAAAACAATGAACTCAAAAGCTCGCCAGAGCTGCAGAGTTGGCTCATAATTCTGTGTGGGTTGTTCCTGCAAGCAACCTTTTCACAGTCATTTGATTTAATCTTCAAATATAAAAGATGAATACACAGATTAGACCTGTAACCATTTTTCAATTGACAGAAAACTAATCGGCAACTATTCTGATAATCAAATGATTATTTAAAGTCAAGGCATTTCAAGAAAAAATACAAAAAATTGAATGAATCCAGCTTCTCAAATGGGAAAATTGCATTCACCAGCATTTTCTCTGTTTTCCCATCAAACAGTTGCAGCTTTAACACAGATACACATAAAGATATGTATTAATGTAGCTTTAAGAGGTACTTCCCAGAAAGCATGTGATGGTGAGGTGGTTGGAATCAGCCAGTTAAGCTCAACAGGAACTCAAATAAGCAACAAAAAAGATACAAACGATTGAAGACTGATGTCAGAGAGATATTTAGGACCTGATTTGCTCGGGGTTACGGCTATGAGCTTTCATTCTGGTGTTGTATTTATGCTGGCTGTCAACACTGGTGCATGTTATTTATCATTAAGTCAAATGTTTGCTGGCTGCCTTTATGGCCTCCTTTCATATCTCTGTGTTGTGTGTGCCTTTCATGCTGGCTCATGTTCTGCTATTGTAAATATGTCGGCTCATTCCTTCCCTTCCTCTCTGCTATTAAATCACTCTGTTAAATCAATGTAATACAATCAATGTGATCAATGGTGCCGACCCATGCTGCATGCATTACAAAAAAAAAAACAAGTGCATTGTTCTCAGCCACTGTAACGACTGAGGCCACAATGGTACTAACATAAGAGACATGTGAGTCATGAAGGATTGTTTTGTCCATCTTCTCACTCTGTCAGGAACTCTGAAGCTGAGTCAGACGTCTCCGGATGTCCCCAACTCAGAGGTTGGAGCCCAGCCCCAGAAAGACCTGCCCAACGCTCATTCCCAGCAGCAGGTCACTTCACGGTCAGTGTTTGACTGTACTCGATGTGTACATGTTGGTTTAAAAGACCGTTTGCATGTCATTACTCATTTGAGCGTAGCAGTTGCTGGTTGTTTTTGCTGTTAACTCAGAGATGGATAAAAACAGGAGCGAACCTTCAGCTAGTGATCCGTAAAGGGAAATCGATTGAAAAACATGAATTAAAAAATAAGAAAAGAATGGCTTTATCTGTTTAAAAATGTTTTTTGTGAGCACACCGGTAAGGACCATGTTGTTCGCATGATGTTGGCTTTAATCTTTGTCGCATCATCTTTGGCTTTTTTCAACCTCTCCATAGTAGTTTAAATCTCAAAAAACATCTCTTTAAAAAAGATGAGGCTGATATTAACGTATTTTTCCATAGCACAGTTACAAATATTAATTCTCCAAAAACAGACCCACGCAAGACATTTCTCTATTCTTGAAGAGATTTTAATTATCATCAGCACACAGCTTGCCCTGATAACATGTGTAAAAATAAAAAGGTGTGTAAACTCTTATGTAAATAAAAACAGTGGGTAAACTCCATTTAGATGGTTTACCCGCCACTGCATCTCTGATTAAGCTGCTGAATCACACTGTTGCATAGCATCTTTTTTTGGTGTGTCCATGTGTGTGTGTGCTGTGCTCTTCACTTAATATTCACCCTCTGAGCTCTTATGTTTCTGTTTAGGCCCAAGCCCATGACTCACCAGCTCTCCAGTCCTGATTTCCACGCCGAGGAGAAGGAGCAGGTAACCAGCATTGGGCAGATCAAACCGGAGCTGTACAGACCCAAGGGCGACCAGGGTGAAGGCAAACAGGGCGACAACTGCGGCAAGATCAGCTTCCTCCTGCGCTACGCCTTCAAGTAAGTCAGCGAGCTTACACCGAAACAACCTACTCTCTGTCCACTTATGTAAAAAGTATATCATTTTAACATTAATAAGTCATTGCCACAGTATTTTCAAAATCTAGAGTTTAACCGTAAACAATGAGGCCATTGCATCACCTAGAGGTTGGCCTAAAGATGCGGCACCAATGTCTGTGTGGAGCCCCATTGACTTTCTGTCTGGAAAACTGCACACCCCCTGCTTTGATCAAAATAGAAACACAAAACTCAAACTTTATGGCAGTCCAGTAATAGTTTTTCAGATATTTCAGTCTGGAACAAAGCGGTGGACCGGCTGACTAACACTGGCATCCACAGAGCCATGCTGCCATCTGTGATGACGCAGTTTGCAGAATTTAAACCTCAAAAATTAGACTTGAACATTGTTTGACGAATCTGACACTGAGTGGAACTAACATAGTGTAGTTTTACTTGTCACCAGTGAATGTTAATGCGTCTATTTTTGCACCACTTTGATCATAGCAGTTTTACAAACCCTGAAATTCCACCGGGCACTACTTTATAACGTTGCATTTGCTTCAGATCCCACCGAGAGCGTGCTGTTTTTCAGCTGGAAGAAGAGTTTACTTGCGTATTTTGTCCTGAAAAGGATACAAAAGTGTGTGTTTCTCCGCTTAAAATCTCCTCTAATCTGCCTCTGACTGATCGACTTCTGGCCTGGTGCCACAATGTTGATTTGGCATGAAATTTATTCCGTAGTCTGCACAAGGTATTTCATTTTGAAAATTGAGTGTGCGATCTGCTCTGTGCTGCTTGACTGGGTTGCAGCTTTAGTCAAAAAGAGACCAGTCGCGTATTCTATGTGGAGCAGAGCAGAGAGACACTTCTGAGACACTTCTGAGACACTTCTGAGACGCTTCTGAGATGGTCTGTCCAGTGGAATTTCGGGGTTAGGCTGCGTTCAGACTGCAGGCACAGGTGCCCCAAACCCAATTCCTTTGCTCATATCTGACTAAGATCTCCACAAATCACATGGAATCCAATCTTTTCAATTCTGATTTGGGCCACTTTCATAAGTAGTCCTACATCAGATTGCAGTGATTTTTGCAGTGTGAATATCACTGAATTAATGTGACTTTTACCTCACTCACTCGCTTGAAGTGTCTTGCTGTGAGTGTCTTATGGAGAGGCACTGGCAGATGAAGTTAAAAGTAGCCCTTGACATCCTGAAATTTAAAATAAAATGTGTTTCTCTGAAGCCACTGAGATAATGAACCCGCCACTCCTTTCTACACACATCTCATCTGCTCATGAATTTGCTCGTTTCCACTCTACATCAACTTATAAATGAAACTGCAAACACGGACTTCTGTGGCCTCGGTTGAGGAACGTGACCAGTTCACACTGGAATCTAATATTGGTGACATTTTGACAAATCGGATCTAAGCAATAAATCCAAATTGAGCACTAAAGCTTGCTGTGTGAATGTAGCCTAAGTCAGAGGGCTGCAAACAGACACTGGTTTGCTGAATGCCTTTATGGCACAGAACATAGAGACGGTGCCTCTTATCTTTCAGCGAGTTTATCCTCTTCACCGAACACAAAAAGAAAACCTCCAATTCAAGTATAAAATTGAGTTTGAGACTGTGAGCATTCAGGTGTTATGGAGAAAAGAAACTTGACATACCTCTAGCATGAGACGTGAGAGGCTGGTAGCTATTGTCTCGACTGTGGTCGGTTTGTTAATTATAATCATACTGAAATATTAAAGGTCTAAAAATAAGAAATTGGTCCCATTATATGCAAGTGACAAAGCAGCATCAGTGTCTTTTATGTACTGTGTGGCACAGATTGCTGTAGTTATTTTCATTTTGCTCTTTTGATGATTCTCTCTTAAATATTCTCTGCTGGAGAACTAAGTATGTAATTGGTGGATGCCATGCTGTGAGGACTGGGTGATGGGAGTGTGTGTGTGTATACTGTAAGTGAAGGTGGTTGTGCGGTGTGTGCAGCTCGCTTGGTGTGTCTGTCTGCGGCTCAGCTGGCAGTCCCCCATTTCTGCCTGCCCCGACATGTAGAAACATTACAACAAGCGAAAGTGCTGATGGTCAGAAAAGAAAGGGAGCAAGAGAGGCCGTTTGAGTCATGAATTATATATGGTGAGCCACTTTAAACAGCAGCCCCTGTCAACACATAATAACACCAGACTGTGTTATAGCTGGAGTTACAGATACAGAGAATTAGCAAGGGAGTTGGATGGAGAGGGAGGTTAATGATGAAAACTATTCATGTGTCCCTTTTTCCCATTTATATAGTCACAAGATAATTTATGTCACGCTGTAGTTGCCTGTCATTACACTGGTGGGAAATTGTTTTAGCGAGAAGAGTAGAAGAGGCAAGGCAAGTTTATTTTTATAGCTCCCTTGAACAACAAGGCAATTCAAAAGGGCTTTACATAAGACAGGAAGACATTAGTTAATTAATAAATTAATTAAGAGAGGGAGGGACTGAGGAATAGAGAAGAAAGGTTAGAGATGTACCTGCAAGACGAGTGTGTGAGCCTGTGTGTGGAAGCAGACGCGTTAGCACTGGGACTGTGATAAGATTGGTATGTTAATGTGTGAGGCCCCGCTGTTCGGAGTGTAACAGTCAGAACAACAATGTCAATCTTTCTCAGATCCTCTGGGAAAGGCATTTCTATTGACAATCCCATTAAAAGCTGACACATTTCCACTGTGGGAATAACAGCTAGCTTTCGGGCATTGTCTGCCAGGAATAAGGCCGTGAATTTTGCTCTCTGCTGGAGCAGTAATAGGTGTATTCTCTGCAGCATGCCTCATGGATTGTGTAAAAACCTTGGATTTGGTTCAAGCTCTCATTCTGTAATAAGACACATGAGTGCAGGAAAACCTGCAACCGTGTCTTTGAATAAACAACAAATGCAAGAAAAGTCACGATGAGCATGGAGGGCTGGGTTTCTTTTTGTACACAAGCTTTCTGTCGTTTCCAATTATTGTACATCAGAGCATTGCTGTGAACCACACTGGATAATTACGGTGACTGCAGACTCTCTAGCACCAACATGTCTCAAAATCATGCAGGATTAAAGATCATTAGATACACATTTGAATTGGTCAGGGTTTTCTCGTTAAAATATTTATCTGGCAGAGCTGGAAATGTAATTTCCTCCGGCAATTTGCCCTGTATATCATCTCCCTGATTTGATGTGATTGCAGAGTGGGCATGTTTATCCGATTGCCTTAATTGGATGTGATTCAGAGGTAAACACGTGTCTGTGATTGCTCACGGTTGTATTGTCAACAAGCATGTCTTATATGTGATTGGTACACATGAACAGAAGACATAATATCTGCCGGGGTCACTGTTGGCGTTTGCCCTGTTTATCATTGCTCTGCCCCGAAGTTCATGCTGCCCGCCTAAAGCAGCTAATGAAGTGCTGACACAGTGGTTAACACGGGGAGACACAGTCTAACGAGGTCTGATTAAAGGCCTCCGAGCTGTCCTCATCTTCATCTGGTAATTAAATACATAATAAATGGCGCGTGAGATGCAGTCGTGACTCTGGATGGAGCATTTGAATGTAAAGGCGTGTGTATGATGTGTGCTCACGTGACTTTGGTCAAACTCGTGTGACTTTGTTTTACTTATACTCGCTATCTTTCAACATTTTAAAGCCAAAAAATATCTCAGAGATTTTATCATTTTATTCTTGTTAAAGAAACCAGCACTTTGAACTTGAGACGAGCAAAAATGCTGAAAAAATCCATCTCACATCTGAATATTAGCTGTTTTTCTCTGTTTTATACCAAAGTAAACTAATTAGCTTTGGGTCTGAGACATTTGAAGATTTCACCTTGGACCCAAGGAAGCTGTGATGGGCATTTTTCACTATACTTACATTTTAAGGACCAAGCAATTAATCGAGATGAGTTGCGGCCGTAGACTACTAATAAAACAATTTACTGCGGTGTTTACAATTAAACGAATTAAACAGCATCCGTCCAGCACCTTTAGCAGCATCAGAAAAGGTGTTCATTTTTGGTGTTGGAGCTACACTTTTGTTTATAGCTGGATTACAGATTTTGCCTCCATGTAAATAAGGGTAGAAGGAAAATAAAACAAATCAAATGCTCCTTTATAATCAGTTTACAATATGATATGTTGCCTCAACAATCAACACCTTCTCCAGAATGACTGACCCCACCTTTAAGGGCTTCTTTTAGACCAGTGGTTCCCAATTATTTTCCAATTATTTTTTATGATAATAATGGTAATATAAAGCCATTATTACACCCTCATAACAGGTTCCTGATCGGAACAAAAAGCCCAATGACAATAACATTTCGCAGCCGCTGTAGTTTCTCCTATACACTTTCCAAGACAGACGTCAGCGGTGTTCAGTTAGTTACATTCTGAAACTTCAACGCTAGATTCCACTAAATCCTACACACTGGTGCTTTAACATTATTTTGTGCAGCAGTATTTTGTTGTATTATTTTCTGCCCTACTTATCATCTTTAACCCTTTAGATTAATCTCAGACCCCTTGTGGATCAAGAAATATACAATCAATCAAACAAATATGCTCCAGTGTCGATGATACTGACAGTGGAAGGTTTAGTGAAAGGCCAGTCTAATGCTAACATGGGTTTGTTTGTTTGTTTTTTGTGGATTTTATATTAGTCTCTTATGCATTAACAATTCTGTATATGTGGCCCAAAGTGAGTGTAGACTAAGGGCTACTGTGTTAAAGATTATTAATGAGCTCAGCTTTGGCCAGAATCTCTCACTGGCTGTACATCTGTGCTTACTGTGCTTACATTTAACATCGCTGATAGTGCAGCCATGATACAGCTGTAGGGATGAATCACACACACACACACACACACACACACACACACACACACACACGTGCTATTTTGGCTATTCCTTGTTCCAGCACACAGAACCTCCCAAGCCATTGTCTATGTATGACACACAGGTGTTTGTGTGTGGATTGATCCTGGTATTTGTGTAAATTGGTGCGAACCCTGCCTTTTTATGCCTTTTAATGAACATGTGAAAGTCTAATGGAGTTTGCTGTCTGTGTGTGTGTGTGTGTGTGTGTCAGTACGGAGCAGTTGGTGGTGAAGATCCTGAAAGCTCTGGACCTGCCAGCGAAGGATGCCAACGGCTTCTCTGACCCATACGTGAAAATCTACCTACTGCCAGACAGGAAGAAGAAATTCCAGACCAAGGTGACTCCCACGCTCACCTGTATCCTCAGTAGGAAACTGCCGTCTTAATGCTGTGGAAACAAAACAACAAAAAAGCATTTAAGCATCACCCTCTCACTGTTTTCTCTCTCTCTCTCTCTCTCTCTCTCTCTCTGCCGCTCTGGTGACCCCGTCTCCTCATGGGGAATCATTACAGTTTCACTAATGTAATCTAATCTAATCTGGGGCATAATTTATTCAAGATAATGTGCTTCAGACTATTACAGGGCACTGCTACTCAGCTCCTGTGTGTTATTCTGGTGTTTGAGGACAGTTGAGTCAATATTTGAGCACATTTCGGGACGTTCTGTACCAGGAAATGTACCCTTAGCCCAAAAAAAACCCCAAAACAAATCCTCCTCTCTTCTAATTTATTCTCAGTGGAGAAGCTCAAGACTTATGAGCTCAGTAGCCTCACAAATGTGAGTTGTAGTTCTCTGTTGTATGTCAATAAATATCAGCAGTACTTTTGTTCAATGTTGGGATAGAACAGGGAGAAATTCTGAAGCTGAAATGGGTCAGAACTGACTGCAGAGCCAGGAAAGTGTGAACAGTGAGCTTTCATCGACAATGAAGCTGTACCAGTTTGAAATTTCTCCCCTTTGTGTGACTGTCTCCTGTATATCACAAAAGCCCCCTTCAGCCATTGAAAAGTGTGAATGCTTCACTCATTTGCATAATACTGCTCCTCTTTTGTTTAGGCTGTAGATGATTGTTTCATTTCAATCACATTCTCATTAACATGGGATTTTTTACACCTCTCATATTTTGCCATGCTTTTATCCCTCCAGCTAATTTCAAAAGAGAAACAGACATCACCTACGAGGAGATGTTACAGCTTTGTGTTTCTGGTTTCTAAAGGCACAGCGTCTCCATCCGCTGCATGTTTAATCCAAAGCTAACAAGTAATCATCAAGGGCTAATAAGCCAGAGTGACAGACCCACTCATGCAGCGACAAAAGTTGGATTTGGAAAATCGAGTGTGTGTCACATTTTAATTATCTCAGGCTTTATTGCATGACAACATTTATATCAAATGCTTTCATAGCACATAAATCCAAACAGTAAATCAACAAATAGTAAAAAAAAAAAAAAAAAAAAAAAGTTGTAGATTGAAGACAAATTTACAAATGTCATCTGCGATGTGTTAAAATATGATGAGCAGGAAATTGCAGCTTTCCATCAGGCTGCATTCTCCGATTTAAAATGATCCGTTCTCTTTGACATGTTATAGAGATGACGGAGAAAAATAAATCGAGTTACCTATAGGAAATGTGTTGTGAACATTTAAAAGGAAGAAACCTCTACCTTTGTACGTGTTGGGACATCAAATTTTGAGTTTAAATTTAGTTTTAGGTCTTTATTTAATTTCTGCAGGTTTGATTTGATTCTTCATCCCACAAAAGAAGGTGAAATTCATTTTTCTCCTTCTGGCCGAGGAACAAGGTCCGTCTGGTAGAGGTTAATTATATTGCTCAAGGACATTTCGGCAGGTGTTGCCACAAACCCCTCCGGACTATTCTGTGCCCTGATGTGGTTTATTTTTGTAGAAATGTAAATCCATTTAAAATAATTAAATGTTTTGCTGTTTTTAGCACAATGTGATTTATCAAAAAGGCAGTTAATCACAGCTTTTATATTCACAGCCAGTCTCTGGTAGCTCTTCTCTGAGAAATAAACATTTGGTTCATAGGAAGTGATGGCTTTTATGTTTCCAATTTAGATAGAAGAAGAATTTGTGGTTTGCAGGAGCATAAAACAGGAAACAAAACAAAACAACTACATAAATAAATAAAATAAACACCACTTGCCAAAATCTAAGGGAAAAGATTCAGCAGAAACACCACAGCAATGAGAGCTCAGTAAGTAGAGGCAGACAAAATGAGGATCTTGTAGTTTACTTCTTTCAATTAAAATGATTTTGACCAAATATAGCTCCAGTTTGGTGCCACTTCGATAAGTACAGTTTTTACATATGAGACATTTGAGTCACAGATAAAAGCCACAAGACAAACTTTGACAGCACTTAGTGTGTTTTAGAAGACGTGTCCAGAATCCCCTGTTCTGCCTCTCCACTCGGTTTGGTTAAAGAAAGTCTCACCTTGTAAACCAGGTTGAAAATGTACTTTACTGTGGAGCGGGTCAAATATTTTTCATACCTTTTCATAGGGTCTTTGAGAATTCTGGAGCCATCTTCAAAACAGCCGTAAGTGTTGTCAAACAACCTGCTGGCTTTTTCCAAATCTGGCTTGAATTAATCTTTGAGGAATCCTCGGTACATTCCTGTGACTGGAATGCAATGAATTGGGGCGAGGCCAGAAAATGAATTTGCTGACTCTTTAGATTACAGCACACAAATTACTGTATAATTATTCAGCATATACCGAGTATCAATAAAATACTTAGTAGGGAACCAATGCAGAGACAAATATGTAGGTGTAAGGGAGGAAGGCAGGTTTGAGAAGAAGTGGTTTATTGGGCAGGAAAATTGTGTAAAACTGCTTTCATAGTTATTGTTAAGGCCCACGGAGAAAGGCGCCCATCTGTACTGTAGCTATAGCCATGAAATAGTTGTATTTTAGTTTTTTTTAAATTATGATAAATTACGGGAGAACAGTAAACCAACTTTAACGTCCTTTTATGATCAGATGAACAGATCATAAAAGGTTAAGGAGCCAGATACTTTCACTCACAAACTTGTTAGTTTATTGTACATAAGGAATACTGTGGCGAGATGTTCATATAATCAACGGATTAAACGTTTTTTTCGTCTGTGTTTTACCAACTGCTTTTAAAAAGAATGCATGCATAAACCCAGCTGAGGAACATTATTACACAATCCAGACAAAGCATTGGAAATGTGGGAGAAAGCACCCCTTATTACATTTTAAGTCTGGTGTATGTGGGCTGTGAAAGGAAGTAGTCCCTTGTTAACCCCCTTTTCACTGTAATTATAGTGTCGTTACAGGGTATGCTGGCTGTGAAATAATGTCGTTGTTTGTTCCCCCCTTATTCCCTGTACTAATTCCCATGTACCTGCACAGTAAATATGTCATTGGTATCCCGTATGTACCAAATAATTACACTGTAAGAGTAAATTCTAACTGTCTGTCTCTCTCTCAGGTCCACAGAAAGACCTTAAACCCAGTGTTCAACGAGACGTTTCAGTTCGGCGTGCCGCTGAATGAGCTACATTCCAGGAAGCTGCATTTCTCTGTGTACGACTTCGACCGCTTCTCCAGACACGACCTGATAGGCCAGGTAGTGGTGGACAACCTGCTGGACTTCAGTGAGGGCAGCGGGGACAAGCCTGTCTGGAGGGACATCGTGGAGGGCACCGCGGTAAGGACGAATCTCTGCCATAGAAACAAACCAAAAATAATCACATTTATTCGAAGAGATGGCCACGTTAGATTAGACTAGATGCAATTTGAATGAGCCTTGTGGCGATATCGGGCCGCTGCAGCTGCAAATTATGGGCCAAGGCAGTGATAGATAGGATAGAACCAGGAATGGAGCATATCAAACATGACAGTTTCAATTCTAGATTTCAAGTAGACATGCATGCATTCATGGTATGAAAATGAATCTGAATTACAGCTTCGAAGAAAGACAAAATAGATGAAAAATAAAGATTAAAATGTACAAAAATCATATGGGAGTATGAAGCCAAATATAAACAAGATGTATGCAAATGTGAGTACATCTGAGTTTCAAAACTCATACACTTGTCAAAACTGAAAATGATTTTCTGGCAATTACAGAAATTCAAACAACATACATTTAGTTTATAAAATAAAATATTCCAATGCTATCACTGCAGTGGTATTTAAATTTTCAAGATTAACTATCTCAAGAGTCCTCTCCCTCTGCCCTACGTCACCACACTGAAATTCTGCTGCCTGTCCTTGATGACTGGCTCTTTGTGAAGTTCTCTCTCCTGATTGGATAAAGTGGGAACGGGATACCAGAAAACATATTCTCTGTTAACTGCAGAAAGGAGGGACTGTGAGACCCATGTTACTGACTGAACACTCTTACATCAGTGATAGCTTTTGGATTGTAGAGCTATATAACACTTATTTTAAACAAAAAAACATATCACTTACAGCACCTTTAAGTTTTAAATTTATTACAGGATTCAAATGATTACGGTTTGTCTTTGCTCTCATTTGAAGATCATATACTCATACTGTATAGAGAGGATGCATAAAAATTGTGCAGGCTAGAAACTGTCTGCAGAGTAGATTAATTCAGAGTTGAGTAATGTAAAAACACAGCACAGGAGAGTCCAGATAGATTACTGGAAAGGCACTGCTGGCTACATCTAAACTTATCACGCGGCATCCAAGTAGATTTATATGAAATATTCATAGAAGGCTATTAGCAAATTAGACAGAGCAAAGTCTTAAAATGTTTTGGCATGGATATTTCATTTATTAAAAAAGTTTAAAGCATCAGCCTGTCTGCGTATTTCAGTGTTTCACCCAGGGTATTGATTGGTGAGGCTCAAAGCCACTAAGGAGTCATCATGCCACAGTGTGACCTGAATACCACCGGTGTCATTACTGTGGTGCCACTGAGACCACAGGCAGCGAGAAGATCAGTAGATGGGAGAGGGGGGAGAGTTATAAAAAGCCTGGAGAATCGTCACCTCTACTTAACACTTTCCTCCACTCAGGGACATCGACAGATTGGCATATGATTCATTTACAGTGACGGCACTTCCCCTCCGCCTAAACACTCTGCCTGTCCACATTAGGACGCCTGCTGTCACTCGCCGTCAGTCACAGATGTAGCTCTTTTCTGGCCACAGACAATCATAGCAAACCAAAGGATATCTGTCAGTTTGTGATTTTTCCTATCTGACTCTGTTTCTGAAGCCGTGTGTGTGTGTGAGTGTGTGATCACACCATCCCAGCTTCATTTCTGATCCCTGTCTGTGTGTGTGTGGTGACCTACAGGAGAAGGCTGATCTCGGGGAGCTTAATTTCTCGCTGTGTTACCTGCCCACTGCAGGCAGGCTCACTGCTACAGTCATCAAGGCCACCAACCTCAAAGCCATGGACCTCACTGGCTTCTCAGGTAAAGGATTAACACACGCACATCGTGCTGCTGCGAGATCTCCAGCAAGCAGTCTGACCGGAAAGTAATTTAAAGGAAAAGAAAATGACAGAAAAAGATTTAACACCGTCTAAAAACAGCTGCTGATGATGTATGTTGCATCATCAATTCAGTTCCTTCAGGTTTATGTCTTATTCTGAGTGATAACTGGCCAAACTTGCAGAATAATAGCTGGCACGAAACCAGTTTCTTGGAAGAAAAGAGTAAGATTTCTTCAGTGGACCAGAATGCAATGCAGCTGCAAGACACAGTATGTTGTTTTAATTGAGGAAACCCTCTTTTGCTGTAAAACTCTTCACTTTTACTAATTGTTCCCTCCTCTTGCAAGTAAAATCGAAAAGTTTGAGCAAAAATAATTATCAGTAAGAAAATTTTCAAAACCTTCTAAATCACGAAATGAAGTAGAGTTAGATGAAGCACATTAAGGGAAAGTGCCAAGAAGTAAATTACCATATATCTTTGCTAAAAATTCCAGAAGTGCATCGAGCATCGCCAGATTGATCGTTTCTAACTGTGCAAGAGAATCTGAGGGTAGATTTTTTCCTTCAAGCACTAGAGGTAGAGTTTATACATTATGCATATATTACCTGCAGCTCTAAAGTTCATTTGTCACAAACACAACAACCAGTAAGAAATGTTACAATGTGTTTTGTTTCAAGCAAAGTCAGCTGCAGGTGTAGCACCAATTATGTCTGCAGAAATCGACAAAAACAGCAATAGTTTTACCCGTTAGACTCATACCAAGAAATGTGATTGCTAATGCTAATATTGAACTAACAAAGGCAGTATAAAAAGTCTTTATTGTTTTGTTGTCCTTCACTTAAAGACTTGACAATTGCAACGGCAATGCCCTCTCACATTAAATGAGATCTCAAATGATAATGACCACCCGCCGTTATTATTGCCACAGTGATCCCAAGATGATTGCAGTGCCTCAAAGATGCTTAAAAATCAGCAGTCGTGGGTGTGTGTGTGTGTGTGTGCGCGTGTGCGTGTGTGTGTGTGTGTGTGGGTTTTCCCTGGCTGCTGTCAGCGAGCTGCACATGTTGAATGGATAACTGGAGTGATTCAACCTGTGCTGCTTTTCTACCTTTGTGTTCTTAATCCAGCTTTGCCAAGGTGACTTGATTTTCATGCCTTTTATGTGTTACCGACGCAGATACCTGTGAGCATAATACCTAACAGCGTTTGCAGGAGTCCCCCCTTATCTTTTTCTCTCCGCTTCCTCCCCCTCTTTCTCTGTCTTCTTCGCTGCTTTTCATCCCACATCCCTCTTTTCCTACCTTTTTCGTCTCCCCCGCTACTCCCTTTATTTCTCCGTATCTTTTTTTTCCCAACCCTGCCATCTTCCTTGTCCCCCTCTCTCTCTTGTCTCTTCGTGCAGATCCGTACGTGAAGGCTTCTCTGATCTGTGACGGGCGAAGGCTAAAAAAGAGGAAGACCTCCATTAAGAAGAACACACTGAACCCCACGTACAACGAGGCACTGGTGTTTGACATTCCCAATGAAAATATAGAAAGTGTATCCATCATCATCGCAGTGATGGACTATGACTGGTGAGCAAGCCGAGGTGTAATGATATTGTAGCATGCTCTGGGGGCTTTAAGATGAAACGGATCATCGCTGTGAAGTGTGCTGCTTATTGAATGTGTGTTTGCACATGCAGTGTAATGTTAGCTGTTACTTTTGGATTGTCGCATTTTGATGGTGTTGCGGCTGTGTTGAACATGACGAGGGCCCCCCTCGTGAGTCAGCCTCCTGGTGGACGTTCCCTGTTTTACATAGACGGGCACCTCATGAATACGCATGATTTATGCTAATGGTGAAGGAAGAAGTGTAACCCTGCCAGTGTTTGTCTGTCTGCTGCTTGCAGCAACACTTGGCTGGTTGATGTGTTTGTGTATAGATGCACCGCCTCCCTATTATGTAGTCTGCCCTCCATTTGGCATCTCCATAGGTGTGTGCTTTTGTATGTTTCTGCTCGTGCCTGCTCCCCCGCTGACATCAAGCTTTTATGCAGGGCTGTGTGTATTTGTGAGCTGCTATTCAATATCCTTCCTTAGCCGCTGTACTCTTTTCCCAGTGCTCAAGGTTGATAAATGAGACTTTCTTACAAGCCCTGTCTCCCTCTCTCTCCCTGCTTTATTACATCCACGCTCTCTCCCTCTCTCCACCCCCCTTCCCCTGTCTACTCTCTCTCTCTCTTTCTCTCTCTCTTTCTCTCTCTCTTTCTCTCTCTCCGTCTCCCTTGTCCTTGCCTCCATCCCTTGCTGCGTGTCAGTATTGGTCATAACGAGGTTATAGGGATGTGTCGTGTGGGCAGCGAAGCTGAAGGTCCGGGGAGGGAGCACTGGGCGGCCATGCTGGCCAATCCACGCAAACCAATAGAGCACTGGCATCAGCTTGTGGAGGTAATGAGCGTGTGATCATGTGTGTTCATGTGTGTATGAGCGTGACTGTGTGTGTGTGCATCCATGAGTATGATCTCATACCACATATGTTATGTTCAGTACTGCTGTCGGTTCTGGGCCTCATAACCAAAATGATTTCGTCATTATTATCATTATCTTTAGAAGTAGCAGTAGCAGGAGCGGTGATAGGACTAAGAATAGCAATAGTGGTAGCAGTAATAGTGGTACAGTAACATTAAAGTAGCAGTGATGAAAAATTGTATATGTTTTTATTTGTATTGATACAACTCTCATATCTGTATCATAAATATGGAGCACCCGCTGTTAAACCACAACAAGTCTACTTCACACTGTTTTTTGTGCAGATTAAACAAATCAGATGTAATGTGTGAATTATATATATATATATGGTAGGCCGATTATGTTATCTTTGGACTGAGCCACGCTAGCTGTTTTCTCCACTCTCTTCTACTCTTTATGCTAAGCTATGCTAACTGGCTGTAGCTTACTGCACAGAAATAATTCTAACTCTCAGCAAGAAAGTGAATCAGCATGTCTTCCAGGACAGGACTGGAGTAAATGGCACTTAGTTGTGGTAATAGCAGAGGGAAAAAACATATAATATCATATTAAAATATAATTTATTTCAACTGAATGTATAAAAGGTGGTTCTTTTTGTCAAGCAAAATCTCTATTTCCCTGCAGGAAAAAGCAATTGGTACATTCGTGTCGAAGAGTGCTACAGCGTCCTCCCCTAAGCCGCACATCGTGGTGGACAGTCCTCACTCCGACTAAAACTGTAAGCCTCTCCTGGTTTGGATCTTACATATTTTTTTTTTTTTATCTTATCAGCATGCGTGTACACATACTGTAGGATTGTTTTTAGTGTATTGGAAAGTGTATCTACATTCCACATAGATTCCAGTACTTCCTTGATTTCTGCTTGCAAACAGAACTCGCTGTCCTGGAATCTTTAAGTACATCCACGTACTGTGCAGCACATGCTCTCCAGTCAGATTTACACAGAAAACTGGTCGAGTCTTTAAAAGCATGACCTAACTGTGAGTGTGTGATAAAGTGGAGGCTGTGGAGCTGTCAGATGTAGGAGCTCTAAGGCAGAAGCATCTGTATAATCTAGATGTTATGTAATGCATCTCCCCCTCCTCCCCTCAAACTTACAGTACTGCATACTGTTTATATATTCTCTCGCCCCCCTACTGTCTCTCTCTCGCTTAATCTGCCTCTTCTCCCTTATTCCCTCTTTCCTCAGGTCATTATCATCTCTCCAGCTCCAGACTTTCCTTTCTTTCCTCTCATCTGTGAATAATTCTCTCCATCAAAGAAAGAGAGACGCGGAGACACTGCTAGTGTCCAACTGCTAGTGCTGTTTTGCTCCTGCTAATGAATTCTCCAAGTCCTGTGCTGTCTTTACCAAGCCGGGGAAAAAAAAAAAAACAACATCATCCATCACAAGCTACACTTTGAGCATCAGACTACACATTTACAAACACACGCAGACACTAAATGGTACACTAGGACTGATTTCGGGTGTAAATTTGGGATCTAGCAAGGGAACGCACACATAAGTCACACACACATAGACACACACGAATACACACAGAGTTTGTAGTATGTGCGTAGTTCATGTGTGCTTCAGATTAGTGTAGTATTTCATCTAGGAGGAGTGTGATGTGACAAACTTTTCTCTCTTGAAAACAAAAAAAGAAAAAAAGCCATCCTAGAATGGTCATTTCAACCAGGACCAAAGGTTCATGCCCTTGTACAGACTATAAAAGAAGAAAATCACTATGTCGATATTTTTCTTTGCAACATTGGTGTACAGTATATGCCGTACTGTATGGGAAAACGTCTCACGTAGTACTTAGCAGGACAAAAATCCGAGGTGGATTCTCTTGACCATTTTGGACGCCTTCTTCAGGCACCGTACCCTCTTGTTTCAGACTTAACTCGCTTATTTTCCCCAGAGGAAAGACGACAAAGCGTCCAGTGGTCTTTATTGATGTCAGAGGAGTGAAAAATGAGGACATACTCATCGGTTTAAGCATGTTACGCAACCTTGAAATGTGTCCCTCTTCCTCATGCTTTTTGTCACAGTCCTCATGGTGCTCATCAGTATCATTTTTATTTATTTTTTTGCTTTGTTGTTTGTGTGATACAGTATACATTTAAAGAGTTTATTCATGCCAGTTTTTACGGTCCACCAAGGATGCGATGGTGTGAGATTCTGAGAGACATGGACTAGTCGATAATCCTCTGCTTTCTGGCCAAACCGACAGACTTTTCCTGACGTAGGACTACACAGGTTGAATGAAACCTACGTTCAGGATCGGACCAGCATCTGTTTGGATTGCACTCGCTGGAGGATGTATTCCACAGGGAAGGATATCACCACTCTACTTTATTTTTCTATCATTCCAGGACTTTTTTCCTTTTCTTTTTCTCGGGAAGTCATTGTCCAGCTTCAACTGAGAAAATGATTATCTTCAAGTCCACATCATGTCCCTGAAAAGACTTTAGAAGGACACACACGTCCGTGTTGCTTTTATTAGTGTGTGTTTCTGTGTTTGTGGGCGTGTTTGTTTTGTATTTGTGCGCGTCTGTGTGTGTGTGTATGCCTGTGTGTCACTGTGACCTTGTGTGTGACACGTTTCTGTGCTCACCGACTCCCTCGTCCTTTTTCTGTCTTCGCCTCCCTCACTCCCCGAACCCCCGGCATCCACAGACTGAAACGCTTGTCTCGGAGCCAAACGTGTCTTCTGTCCCGTGTCTTTACAAAGAGCCATTATGTGTGTATGTGTGTGTGTGTGTGTGTGTGTGTGTGTTTGTGTGTGTGTGAATGTGTGCGTGTGTACTATACGTGCCTCATTGCACTAGGTGGGGAAACACTGTCTTTCATAGACATTAGTTTGTATTGTCTATGTCGTCTGAAATCAGCTGCCAATCATTCAACCCTCCTCTCCTCTCTAACCCTTTGCCTGATGTAAGTAACTGTGTTGATCGTGTACTTCTTTCAGTAATTTGTGAACTGTATGTCCGAGGGAAAAAAAAAACAGATGGCACAGTGATTGAAAATTAAATTGTTGGGTGTGTTTTGATTAAATTTACGAGAAGGAACACAAAAAAAATGAAGGGAAAAAAAACAAAAAAACATCCGAGGCTCATTTTGTTACGGCCTACAGATCATGACAAATTTAGATCCCCTTAAAGCAAGAAAACAGGGAGGAGGTGTTGCGAGAAAACAAGCGCCTGCTGGAATTTCTGCACTTCCTGTGTAAGCCGATACAGACTTATAAAGCCATGTCTGTCACCGCTACTACGACTACTACTGTAACCTCAGCAAAAACAACAGTACAACACCTCACTACAGCTACTTGTATTGCTCTCGTTGCCATTTCTTTCTCGTCCTCTCACGCACACACATTTTTGATGGAGGAGCGTGTGTTTCAGGGGAGGGGATCTAGTTTCTTTCTCTTTAGATTTGGACCGTGGGAACGCAGTGAGACTTACTGGTGTGCTTGATCGGGGTGACACATCCCCGCATCATACCTGCAGGTATTCTGTGTGGTTTGTCAGCTGGGGGATTATTGATCCACTTGTATAAGTCGATATGGTATTGATCCATTGGTCTCGAGGCCCCATAACTCTCTCTTTCCCAGCCTCTCCCTGTCTCTCTGCTCGTGTCTACCCTATTTAGCCCTTGTGTTACTGCCTGGTGATAGATTACAAAACTCATAGTGGAACCAGCACATTCCCTTATTCTCTTCCTCCGTCCGTCCGCCACCCCCATTCTTTCTGTTTCTGTCTGTTTGATTACTGTCTGATTACTCATTCTCTCATTCTCTCCTCCAGCTATCCTTACCTTTCCTCCCGCTCCACTCCCCCACCCCTCCATTTCTCGCTCTTTTTTTTCTACCCCCCCACTCCGCCCCACCTTCCCGCTTCCTCTGCTATCTCCCATCCCTCCATCTTGCCCTCTTTCTTTCCGTGTATGACACCCTCCCCTCTTTCCTCTCTATTCTCTCTCTCGCTGTCTTCTCGTGTTAGTGCAGTTCTGAATGGTCATGGGGAAACATGTTTGCATGCTTATATTAACATGAATGATGTCAACTTGATGCAATGAAAAATTATATAAGTGATGCTTTAAGCAAAATCTGACAATGAACTTGATACTAATACTACTAATGATGACTAAATGGAGACCTAGCAATTGTTTATCTCTGTGGTCAAAAACAACGATGATGAAATAACATTGTTTATGCTGTATTTATCTTTCTCGAATTGGTATTCTTTTTTGATTTTCAATTGTTTTTTTATATATAATTTATTCAAGAGGTTTACTTTTTTATTGGTTAAAGCTGAGAATTTGAGTGAGGGGTTCAGTCAGGGCGATTGTTTCAGTCAGGACAGCTGTACCAGGTTGCAGGATTTAGGTGAATGTGTAAGTAACAGTGTGGCTGAAGCAATGATAATGGAAATAAAGGATATGTATCATCCAGCTTCGTGTTTCTGACTTCTTTTAATCCACTGAGCTGGGAGGCAGAAGAGGTGGTGAAGCTATACTGTCACACATCTCAGGCAGTGTGCTATATATAAAATTCAAGGCCCTGGGCATTTCAAATGTACACAGTCTATATTTGACTCAGGCATGGAGGGTAAGACACTCTACCTGGGCAGAAGCAGCCACGACCCAACTTTTTTTTTTATGACCAAGGTCTCTGACTTTCTGCTGTGCATTAAGTCGTGTGTAATTATTCAGCCACTTTGTCATGAATTCTTTATTGTGGCCGCATTTTGCCTAAATGCAAAATGGAGCACGGCTGCCTGTCGTGTGTGCTTTTCTCCATCTGGCCTCCCTACTTCTATTTTATCTCCCTTTATTTTTAAAACACTCATATTATTTGTCATGTGGTTATTATCTCCTGTTAATACAAAGATGCACACCAAGTAGCAATCAGCAACTCCAGTGCTTCAGCAGAGAGCAGAGAGAGGAGGAAGACCGTGAGCTCAGATGTGTGCAGGGGGATGACAGAGAAGGAGGAGTAGGAGAGGATTAAACAAATGAAGGAGGATGAAGAGCAGGAGAATGCCAGTGAGGAGGAGGAGGGGGAGGACACAAATGGGAAAACCTGGAGAGGAGAGGGGATGGCTGCATGCAGGATGTGTGTGTAGAAGTGGAAACGGGAGGTGGAGGAGGATAGCTCTGTATATAGACACACTCATCATGGGGCACCTGCAGCACACCGACAGTGTTAACAGTTCAAGAAGAGCGTAATGCACACACACAGGCACCACAATATCACGCGCGCACGTACACACGTGACAACGCACCAGTTAGCACAGCTTTAATGCTGTAGACTGTTGAGAGAGAAAAGTGGGAGGAGGGGCTGGGGGGGGGGGACTGCTGTCTCCATGGCAACGTTCCCACCGTGCAAAAAAAAAAAAAAAAATCATTTAGTCGGAAAGACATTTCACTCAGTTCAGTGAGCTGAAAGAGGCAGGGAGGGAGGGGGAGCAAGTTAGAGACTGGGGGAGGTGTGTGCAATATAGAGCTGTTTGTATCACACTGGAGGGATTTATCTAAAGTAAGCTGACAGCAAGGCATTAGCGCTTATTGCTAATATATCTGATTATTAAACATAATCATAATGAATTCCCTTGCATCATTAAAGATGAATGCAATAGCTTTGGGTGATACTTTGGTATTACAGTTTTCTTGACAGAGCTGGATCCGCATGCAATATACATCTTTATGTAACCTAAAAGTCACTTTATACCATGACATTACCTGCACTGCCGACACCACGACAAACCTTTCGTGACTGGGACTCCTAACTTTTGTTTTCTCATCTAGAAAGCACTGCGCAAAGGGACTCCGACCTTTTTATAAGACCACTTATTATGCCACGTATACATTTTTTTAACATTTTATTCCAACACTATAAATAATATCCCAAACCTTTCAAAATAATGAATTCAATGAATGCATGCAAGTGGAAACCTCAACCAGGAGTATTAAAGTAGCTTGCCTCTGCAGGGGGAAAGTGTATTAATACAGGAGCCGGGCCCCAAGATCTGACCTTCTCTATAAATTGCTTTCATGGAAGAACTTAAATATATTCACCTAACAACCAGAAACTTTTGTGCAACATCCTTTGACATTATATATCTGCTATCATGGCTTCGAATGAGGAATGTTAAAGAGGAATAGATGAATGTGGGGTTCTTTACAAACTGAATGAAAATAATTTTGCCATTTAAGTGGATGGGAGTAAAAATCCATATCTGAGCTCCTTTTCATAACTCACAGCTTCTACTGCACAGCACCGGTGTCAGACTCTATAGAAAAAGCCCCAGAGACTGGTGGGAGAGGGTACTATCACAGCATCCCAAATGCTCTGGGTAGTTCTGGTAACCCATTTGTGTGGATGTCAGTGTATCAGCATGCTGGCTGTGATTACCTGTTGTGAGTAGACCATCTGGCCCTCAGCATCCCAGCTGGGTACCACGGTCAGGAGACGGATTGTCTTTACCACACCACCTGGACCTCGCAGACATGGAGCACCGAGGCACCTACCATATTTCTCATTCATATTTTATTATGTCATTCTCTGACCAAACAAAAAACAAAATGAGAAGAAAAAAAAAGCAAACGTTGTCTGTTTTTCCGAAAGGCACGCCCAGAGAGCAGGCTTTCTGTAATTGCTTGGCAACTGCTGGCACTCTGTGTGTTGAAGTTCAAAGCAGCGAGACACAGTGTATCCCTCTGAGCAGCAGAAAGCATCAGAGTTGCAAAGTAAAAGGGTGCCTACGCATGCACATTCACACACACACACACACACACACACACACACACACACACACACACAGATCTGTTCTGTCAGTTTAATTTGGCCACGTAGTTCAGCCAGAATAAAAAGCTCTGTGGGGTGGGGTGGGGGGGCGGTTTAATGTTTGCATCTAGGGGGGTAGCCTTGGGCACAAAACGCTCCCTCAGATGAACTTTTCTTAGGTCGCCGGATGCAGCCCTGCTTACTGACGCCCACAGCTTGTTGCCCTCCCTAGAATTTGGGTTAAATTGATATGGAGCATTGTTTCTGTGGGGAGTTTGAGTTTGATGAGCTCTGAAACTCTTCACTGAACGCTGTGCTGAGCTGACTGGCTGGCAGTGCCACAGGGGACTAGATGCTATTGTTGGACCCACAGAAACAATGCGGCGATGTGTTACAACCACAGGTAAGCCGCTGGTGTATTGTGCTGATCTGAGAGCAGGTTAGCGTGCTGAAAGCTGCTGTAGTAATTGTGCTCATGTGTTCAGCGCTGAGGTTTGGGAGTGGCTGGATCAGTGTTAAATGGAGAACATACAGACCAGCTAAACTTGACAACCAGGTTCAGTGTTTTAAGTGTCAAATCACAAACATTTGATTTTCATTTCAATATCATTAAGAGAATGGTTAGAAAATATATATTTTTAGGAAAGAAACCACACATCACAGCTTTATTCCATGGAGCTTTTCTTTTATATAACTTTATTCATTATAGATAAACTATCTCAAAGCTTCTTGGCACTCAGTGACAAGGTCCTTTAAGTTACAATCTGTAACCTTTTCTCTCTGAAAAAGACCAGGGATTTACTGTACTTACTGTAGATATCTGCTGACATCTCCTGGAGATCTAGTTCAACAGCACTTTAAAATCTCCAGTGTTCTTGCAGAGAGCTCTATTTCAAACAGAATAGAAAAATACATTTGTCCTTGACAAATCCTTGTCAGTTTAGCCTAAAATAGGCCTGACCAGAAAATGTTACGCAGTAGGTTTTGAATTACTTCTATTTATTAGCAGTACTGTGGGAAAACAACCTCGTGAAGTTCCAGGCAGTATTTTGACAATCATCTTTCAATCATGTAATTAAGTGAATAAATAAAAAAGTCAAATAAGAAAACTGTGACATGCTTCATGTAGAATGGGTTGATCCACGAACGGTGCATGTTTCAGACGGAAACCTCACTTTCTATGTGCTCACTGCAAGAAACACATTGAAGGTCAATCTTCAGTAAGGGATGGGGTATAGCATCTAGTCTTCTATCAGCATCAATTCTGTTCACGTAATGCCAGGAACATGTTCAGGTTCATGATTAAATTCTCTCCCCTCCACACTGAGCATCAGACAGGTCCCGGTTCCACAGTTAAATCGAACTTGTTTGATGTTTGGAAGATAAATCTGAACAAGATCTTAAGCTGATTGTGTAATGCTGGTTCTGTTACACTAAGGATTTTCAGGATGTCTTGTGTAAATTCTTAATTTTACTATTGAAGAAAGCCATCTGTTGGCTCCTTGCTTGTCTACCTCAGGATGGCCATTAGATCAATTCGAGGCAGATACAATAACAGATGACCTTTCTCATGACTTTGCCACTGGCGGCGCGCTTGCAAAGACTGAGGTTAAGAGGTTTAAGACGAGATAATATTCAATGATGACCTCATGACTCCATGATTCATTTAAACTGTGGGAATCTATTAAGTGCATATATTAGGGAAGCATAGCTTGGAATGCAGTCAGAGAAATTGAATAAATTGAACTTCAAGGGATGTACAAGAATAAATAGAAAGCTTCCAGTTGAATTAAGCAGCCGTCATCTCAATTAGGTACAATACAGATTCACATTCAGTAGTAGTAAGTGCTCTACACATTTCAGGTACTTGAAGGCCTACAGAAATATTGTACTTTTTGCCCCACTTCACGCTGTGGGTCGCCTCCCATAGTTTTTTTTTTTGGACATTTTGTGGCCACTGGAGGTTCTCTTAGAGCTTGGAAAGGGAGGTTGAAGCGAGAGAGCTGCAATCTGCAACTATCTGCAAGAGACAAAACCGATCATGGAGAAACAGCCTTCAGTTTCTTTGCACCACAAACCTGGACAGTCTCCCGGAAAACTTGAGGTCTGTTCCAACTCGCAGTGACTTCAAGGTTTAAAACTTTTCTGTTTGCCACTCCCTCCATTTGAATTCATTCATATCTTTCACTGCAATACCACCTTAAATTTTATAATCATATTTTGTGTTTTTATATCACATTTTGTTTGCTTCATATCTTGTTTGAATGTAATGTCTTTTTTTTTTATTTCTTATAAAAAAAAAAAAAGCACTTTGAATTGACTTGGTACTGAAAGGTGTCAGCTTACCTTTCATGCGATAATGACCTTGTGAAGAAATATTTCTTCTATGTCTGGATCATTGATGCATTACAAGACCTTTTAAAACCATGTTACCTGTTTAATCAGTACGTCAATATTAAAGTAACGTAACTTGATTACTTTACGTTACTTTTGGATTACCTCAACGGATGTAAATAAAAACAAGAGAGAAGAAATGTCAACAGAACAATGTAACCTTTAAAAAGAAGATGGAAAGATTTTTTAGCATAAAATGTATTTTTAAAGAAACAGTGATGTATTTTAAAATTGTAATCTAATAAATAATCCCAATTTTTACTGAAAATAAACTGTAATTTGATTCTGTCTTTTTCTCTTACAGTGGGGGGGACAATATAACCGGACACTGTAGTTTCAGGTTTTGAACTGTGGGAGGCGGCACTGCACCCCGGAGGATCTTTTATGCACAAGAAGAAGAAGAAGAAGAAAGAAAGAGGCCGTTACGTCACATTTTGTGGGCGTGTCGGAGTGTCACTTCCGTAAAAAAAAATACAACAAATGGTCATGCTAGCCGTGCTGCGTAGACAGTGCTAATTTAAGCCGATTTTATGTTATATTTGTGTTTAACTGGTCCCACGATTCAGCTGGCAGCCACACACGACCAGGTCAGTCCACATTACGTTCCCGGTAGCTGGCGGCTGGCTGGTTGAGGTTATTTTCACGTTGTTATCTTGACGTTACCCAGCTAGCTCTAGCTAAAGAGAAAGCCCTGTGTGCACACTGCTTTTGTTTTGGTTCTGAAATAGGTTGATAGTGTTGGTCAGAGATGGTTGATTTGTTGTATTGTTGGACTGTTAGCCAGGCCTAGCTCTTTTGGGCTCAGCAGAACAAACATTTGTGTTGATTTTAATACAACTTAAAGCTTTTGAAAGCAGTTCATTCTCGCATGAATAACGTTGTTGCAGGTAAATCGCGGATCGATTGTCAGATTGTACCGTTACTGTGTGTGCATGTGGGATGTTTTCTATGTATAGTTAATGTATATGAGTTCTTAAAGTGGATAAAAGGGGGAGAGCGAAATACGACTTGTGTCTTTCTCTCAGTTCTACCAATTTAATTGCAGATCTTCAGTGTAATAAGTTTAGTATTTGGATGCTTGAATGCTTTTTAATGTAGTGCAGCTCATCTCTCCCTGTTGTTGTGGTTACTTTGCACTTGGATTTAAGAACTTAAACTAAAAGTAGTGCCCTACTTCTTTGGTTTAAAATGCAGGTAAAGTAAGTTTCTTGATGGTCTGGGGAAAGTTCCTGCAGTGGAAACGCCCTCGCTGTAGACTTTCTGCTGTACCATGGAGGTCTCGCATCTGTTTACACACTAAAATCTGTCCCCTCTTCTTGTCCAGATCCATGGTGGCAGGTTCAGCACTCATGGAACCGTCCACTAAGCCTGGGGCCAACCAGGTGGCCGATGTGGTGTTTGTCATCGAAGGGACGGCAAATCTTGGACCCTACTTTGAATCTCTAAGGAAAAATTACATACTTCCTGCTATTGAGTGAGTTAAAACTAAAACACTCCTCCTCTGCTAAATGATTCCTTTATTTTTCATGTTATCGTGTCTAAATGCCTCTGCTTTTGTCGTTGTTTCAACCGTAGATATTTCAATGGGGGGCCCCCAGCAGAAACAGATTTTGGCGGGGATGTAAGTGTTATTTTTTTATGTTTCAACATTCATAACATTCTTTGTGAATGGTTTTCAGATAACAGATAAATGTTCCCGTGTTTCTTTGGTCCTTCTAGTATGGAGGGACACAGTACGGTCTTGTGGTGTTCAACACAGTGGACTGTGCTCCTGAGTCATATGTCCAGTGTCACGCACCAACCAGCTCTGCCTATGAGTTTGTCTCGTGGATCGACAGCATTCAGTGAGTTATTATTACAAACATGACATTCTTGTGGTTTCATATTGCCTTACTATTGTAACAGTTCAATACTGTAAATGAGATTTTGCAAATATTCAATGTTTTTTACACAGGTTTATGGGAGGTGGAGCAGAAAGCTGTAGTCTAATTGCAGAGGGACTCTCTGTGGCCTTGCAGCTCTTTGATGACTTTAAGAAGATGAGGGAGCAAATGTAAGTTGTTTTTTTTTCCACACAGCTCACTAGTCCTTTTCTCTTACAGTCTACAAATTTTAAAGTACAATCAACACACACAAATGGCGGGGTCATTACTAGGCAATCTATTGCTCCTTTAAAAAGTATTAAACACTTAATCGCCTATTGGACCTTAGAACTAGGTCCTCTGTGGTCATTATAAAGTAATGAAATCTGTGTGAGCGTTTGGGGTAACACAGCCTTGTTAATGGACAGACTTGTTGTCATTTGTTTGCTTGATAATGCCAAAGTACTAAAGGCAAGAAAACCATGAAAGAATACAGATACATTATCAGGGATGAGATGATGTACAATATTATCGCGATAAAAACACATTTCCATTATTGTGATAATCGTGAATTGGAATAAACGTCAATATTTTCGCGACTTGACTTGAAGAAGCTCCCATACAGCATACAGTCCCATATTGCCTGTCACCGTGGCTGAAGGCTTGTCCGTTACATCCTCCACACATTTTTTTTTTTTTACCAAATGTGTGGGAATAGAATTTATTACAATATAAGATACATGCAGATGAGGTAAAGGTGTGACGTATATTTTCATGGTTATCGTGATAATATCGTGTATCGCAATTATTTGGGCCAAGATAATCGTGACATTAAATTTTCATATCGTCCCATGCCTACACATTGAGTGTCTCCATTGAGTGTCTCCACTGAAGCAGCTGTAAACAGATCCACAGACTTTACTTTGGCTTCTCTAAGTGGCAACCACCACCCCAACATGGAAGTGTTTTACTGGTTATTTCCTCTGATGTCCACCATAAGCTCCAATAAAGGAATGATCCACCAAAGTCTTACATGAAATTTGAGTTAAAAAAAGAAGGTAACAACTCTCAACTCAAATGGCTATGTTACTCCTTCAGGGGCACATGTAGTGATGAAAATCACAACTCTTTGCTTTCTCCCTCTCTACCTTTGCCAGAGGTCAAACCCACAAGGTGTGTGTGCTGCTGTGTAACTCTCCTCCATACCTGCTTCCTGCTGTGGAGAGTGTCAGCTACACCGGCTGCACAGCAGACAACTTGGTCAAAATCATCAGAGATGTGAGTTATCACTGATATTGTCTGCATGAGGATCTGTTGTCAGACATAGAATATAATATTTGTATGTATGTGTGTCATTATTTTTGAGTGTATAATTATTCTATAAATGGGATAGTGTTTGTGATATTTGTATTGTACTATTTGTAATGTACTCTATTTAATAGGTGAAAAGCAGATAAAATATTACCATTTTCATATTTCTTAGAGGGGAATTCACTTCTCTGTGGTGTCTCCTCGGAAACTTCCGGCACTACGGGCCTTGTTTGAGCGGGCGTCTCCAGTAGGAGGTGCAGTTGAACCCCATACAGACTACAGTCAGGACCCCTTCCATATGGTCCTGGTGAGAGGCATCTCGCTTCCTGGTGAGAAACATCGTTTAACACCTTGTTTGTGTGGGGACTACTGTGCTCAGAAGCTATTCAATTGTCTTCTTAAATAATAATAATTATAATTATTAGACTATAGTAGTTTTAATAATAATTATTGTATATTATTGTAGTGTTTGGGTAAATAAGCAGAGCTTTTTTGGGGTTTAAGGAATAATTATTATAAATCACAAAACCCTACAGGTGGCGATAGATAGCTGTTTCACAACCCATAACTTACTCAGTCACAGGGTAAAATACGCCTGATAAAATTGGTTTTACTGTATGTTTGGATCATCCAAGCATTAAACATCGGATGAAGTTGGCGACTAACTGGTGCAGAAAGTTGAATATCTAGCAGCAAAACAGATTTCTTAGGAGTGAGTGGAGACCATCCCAGAGCTAACAGAGGAATATATACTGGACTTGGATCCTGTCCAAATGAAATCTAATGTTCCTCTGTCTGCTGGATGTGTAAATAGGCAACTTTATTAGGAGAAGATGTAAAAGCTTTGTATTTTTCTGTTGGGTGTGGGCCTTGTCTGTCTATAAGTGGCCAAAACAATCAATTAGTGCAGCTTGAATCATGGAAGCTACTTACTTTTTATGTTATGTTTATCTTTAAGAGAGCTGCACAGGTCTCTTATGTAGGTTTGCCGTATCCAGTTATGATCCTAGATGGCTCCAGTAAGTGCAGATCACACATTTACTTAAGGGCTGTCTACACCAAAACGATAACCACAGCAATAACTATAAATGTATCTTTTTAAAAATCATTCAGACTCCTCACCACAACTAGTATAACAACAATAACAGTGGCTAATGATATCGTTGGGATCAGTTTCAGAGCAATTTGATGAACGATATGCTGGTGTACAACTTAATAATCGCTCATCAGTGTGGTTAGTGTCATCATTATACTTATTGTTTGTATAGTAATTGTTCTTGGTGTGTTATATGTAACAACATGCAGAATAGTGTACAGTTACTGTTTCCCAGTTTTAGCAGCTGCATTCCTGTAAGCTTCTTATCTCCAGACACACTTTTTGATAAGATGTTACACCACCTTTTCTTTGGGCTGCAAATGACGAGAGTAAAGCTTAATGTTGTTATCTCGTTCTGTGCATTTCTCAGTGTGCCTCTACAAGCTGCAGACTTTCCTCCAAGCTCCAGTCTGGTTTTGTTTCTTATTTCATTTTGGCATGATCATTTTATTTCATTTTCCTACAATTAAATCCCTTCTAAAATAATTGTAAGATACTAGTTGCTAATCTCACACGTGTTAATTGCTGCTGGAGATATTTAAACTTTCACACTGTTCCACTGTAGGATGATGTGATTGATCGTGTGAAGTCATTCTTTAGTTTGCAGCAGCTTCAGCAGTCGTAAATAAAGACTTTTTGAGCTATTCCTAATGCTTACTCCTACACTTTTTTTTGCGTAGGTGTGCAGTTCTTAGTAAACACCTTCACTTCATGAAGGACTATTTTACTCTTACATTGGGACTTTGGAGCATTCTGAAGTTTACATCTCAGAGCTTTGTAAAAACTCTAAGCTCATCACACTGTCTGTCTCCACAGTTTCCCCAGGTGGAGGACCTGGGCCGCTCAAACCTGTCCTCCCTCCTCAGCAGCTGTCAGTCAGTCAGGCTCCACCCATTACCCAAGCACATCCCTATCAGGTAATGGGCAAGCAGCCACGCAGCATACGGCTGCCTGGAGACCTATTCCCACTGCCTGCTTTTGGCTCGGTTTCAGACGGTGGTGTTTATGTTCCTTCCCTAAAACGTTTTACCCTGCATTGTGTTCCTTTAATCTGCTTGCTGACAGAATCCGGCACCCATGACTCCTGCTCAGGTGGCTGCAAAGATGGTCGTGGAGGCAGCCAACAACCAGAAGGGTCGCTGTGAGTTACCAGTGCACTCAGTGGGCCTTTGTGAACAATTTATGTTACCTGAGCTTTTAGTCTCTGTGTCTGCGTACTGTATGTGTGACTGTGTTTGTGCCTATTACAGTAAAGCTGTTTTCACTTTTTCTGGAAAACAGTATTCCAAAGATGGTAATGCTGTTGCTGTTCTTTGTTTTTGGTATTTAATGGATGTTATCCCTATGGTATTCCTTGTATGTATTTTAAAGTGGCATCTGTTGTGTTCCCTCTCCCTTGTCCAGTCCCAGGAATAGTCAATCAAGGTCCTCCGTTCACCAGTCAGCCAGCCATCCCATCAGTCCCTGGGGTGAAACCCAGCATAGCAACAGTCACTACAGCAACACCGCCCATTGTGCAACAGCAACAAGTTGCTCTCAATCAGCAGCAGCCAGTCCCGCCCCCAGGACAATCTGTACCCAATCTGCCGCCGCAGGCCCCACCTCAAGCGCAAACCACGTCGAATCCGCCCCCAGTGCCTTCAGCACAGACCATGGTAAGTTGTGGTAATCAAGATTAAACCAATAACACCTCCACTACACTAAATACACTTTGCTTTCTTGCCAAGAGTTAAATGAGAAGATAGTTGCTGTCTTATGGAAGGTTATGTCAGTAAAACTCCAGGAAGTTACAGTGCCCGGTGCTGAAATCAGTTCCCCAAAATGTTCCTTTTAATAATGCAGTATGTTTAGATAAGCGCTGCAAGCAAGTGTGTTTCATTACACAGGTAGTATATCTGACTGCCTTGTTATTTTTCACTGTCATATATCCAGAGCATACCAGGAAAGCATAAGGAAGAACCTCACAGTTTCTTAAAAGTCCAGGTTATGGGAAGCTCTGGATTAGAGTTCCTGTATTAGAAAAGAGCTTATGCGGCATCTCTTTGTTGCATTTGCAGAATTATCTTAATTCTCTTAAGGAGGTGCTAATGTGTTTGTTACATCTCTTGCACTGTAAATTCTAACTTTTGTGCATGTTCAGCTTGCTCTAAATATTTACCCCCAAAGCCATATATTGTCACCCTTTTTAATTTTCAATATTGTTCTAATCCCTATTAAGGGTTTTAACATATTTACTAAGCCCTTGTAAAGCTAATTGCATAATCAGGCACCAATCAAGCTTTTATCGGTATGAATGTGGTGTCCTGTGTAGACCAACTTTTTCAGATGAAGATGGATCAGGGTCAGACACCCAATTAATGGTGGTCCTCTGATTATTTGACAAACCACAGAGTAGAATACAATGTAATACACTGGATCACCAGTGTATTACATAAATTCAAGTCAGATTTATTAATGGAGCACTTTTAAAGGACCAGTATGTAGGATTTAGTGGCATCTAGCAGTGTAGTTGCAGACTCCACTCCCTCTGTAGATAAAAACATCTCATTCTAAGGTAACAACAACACAACAATTCTTATTTTCAGTTGATTATACAGTAATGAACACATATAAATATTATATTACGGTTCTACCAATAGATCCCCATAAATGTTACACACTGATCCTGTTTTACAGAGACAAATTAAAATACACATAAACAATTATAACACAAATCGATAAATAGCTATACCAGACGAAATTAAAATAATTGTATTCTTCAGTTCATAATTAAGAGAACTCAATTGTATACAGGTGGGTCTTTTGCCAGGATTTAAAAGTAGTGATAGATGGGGGAGATCTGACAGAAAAATTTGATCACCTTTGGATTTTGACTGAGAACTAGGAATGATAAGCAGCAACTTATCAGAGGATCTGGTCATGTAGAGCTCTGAAAACAATAAAAGAATCTTAAAATCAATTCTACATTTCACTGGCAACCAGTGAAGGGAGGCCTATTCAGGGGAGATGTGGTCTCTCTTCTTGGGACCAGTGATGAGTCTTGTTGCTGCATATTGATATAGCTGCAGGCCAGCTAGGGAAGACTGACTGACTCCCACATAAAGAGAGTTGCAGTAGTCAAGACGTGAGGTAATAAAGGCACATAAGACAGCCAGGACTCCAAATAGCAGAAAAGGCTTCTTTTTTTTTTTTTTTAACAAAGCTACTGAAAACAATGTTTTTGTTTGTCAAATAGTCAAAAATGACACCCACGTTTCTGGGAGGCCGACCACACTAGTCAGTAGCAGTAGGGAAACGTGGGTTGGACCTGGCTGTGGTATGAAAGCAGTATAAGGCACGTTCTGGCTAGCTATCTCTGACTGGTGATTAGATCCTTTAATGTGAAATGTTTGCTGTTAACCTTGTGTTGAATTTTATTTCATTATGTTTTTGATGAGATGAACATAGCCAGTGATCTGTGGACAGGATAAGATATATTTTTACTGTCCCCCATAGGGAAATCTGTTTTTGAGTCATATTGCACACATAGCCAACATCCTACATGACCTATTTGAGTTGAGAATCTTAATGGACATAGGCAGGAATACGTTTTTATAACGGTTGAACCTTCTCTGGGGTGTGAGCTGGAACTCTGGGTGGAGAATGTGGAGTGGAGTTTAACTCACGGCACTCAGCTGAAGACTTGATACACTATTCTCACCCCCTTGTAAACACTATCAATGTTTAAATCATATTGATATTTTCAAATGTAAGTGGCCCTGCTCAAGTTAGAAATCTGAAAACCAAGACTTTAATCTATGATGCTGTAGCATCAGCAGCCTAGAGCTGAGTTTGCAGACTAACACGCTGTCTGAAGTCTAATATCAAAATGAATTTTAAATGTTAGTACTACTATCAGATCAAAACCAGACGATGTTCCCTTTTCCCTAGAAAATCATTGTTGTTTTTTTCAGTTCATTCATTAATTCCTCTCTCCACTAGTACAACATATTTATATGAATATATATACAATTGTCTAAAACTAGCCAAATCTAATATTTAAATATGTTCCGGTTCAATTAGCTCTTGTGCAGCAATTAACTTAATGAAATCTTTCTTTCTTTGAATTCTCAAGTGCACTACTCTTTTCTGTTATGGTTCTAAATTGTACTAGCACACTATATGTAAGCCTCTCCTTCTCTATTTTCTTGACAGCCTGGTGTGTCTGGAGCTCAAGGCAATGCAAATCCAATAGGACAGCCGCAAGGTGTGGCCAATAAAGTTGTGGCGTGGACCGGGGTTCTGGAGTGGCAAGAGGTAACAAGTCTGACTTTTAATTGCTGCAGAGTGGTTGGGGCCCTTAAAGTAAAGCTGTAAACTAAAGTGATATTAGAAACCTTTTAAGAGAATGTGTTGTTAAGAGCAATCTCTGCAGTTTAATTAGAATCACTTATAGTACTGACAGCTGAATGTCAGGCTGTCTCCCCCCCAAAAAAATGCACAAACCAGCATTTAGGATAAAGGAATTCAAAATATGCATGTTAAAAAATTTACAAAAACTTTGATTATGTATGTTTGTTTGTTTGTTTGTTTTTAAGTTATACAGTTTTGAAGTTTGGGTTTTACATGGATTTATGTGAAAGAGTTTTTCTTTGCCCGGACACGGTAACTTCCTGGAATCTCCGCTGGTTGCCTGGCAACCTCACATTGACGACATAACTTTAGGAACAAGATTTACATTTTAATCAGTGAGCTTTAGGGTGCTGGTAGGCGGACTTTGTAACCTTCACATAGAGCCAGACTAGTTTCTGTTTCTCTCTTTTTCCAGTTTATAAGCTAAACTGACCCGCTGCTGGCTCCAGCTTTATATTTACTGAACAGATATCAGAGTGGTATCGATCAACTCATCTAACTTTCAGCAAGAGAGAATGAGCGTATTTCCCAAAACGTCAAACTTTGGTGGTCTCATATCCCAGCCATAAATAAGTCAGTATTGGGCAGCTGAAATAAAAACCAGCAGCATCTGATAACTAAACCTGTTATCATCACTACTGTCTAGGACCGATCACTGTGCTAAGTCCTAATAACCACCTGTCATTGATTATTCTACGGTATGATTAATTGCGCATCATTTTACTGTCCTACTACTATTGGTTTAGCTCAAGGTCAAATCGATTCAGTTTACAGTGGCAGTGCTGAGCCAGGAAAATGCATGTTAATGGCTTTTATGCGACACTCATGAGGCCTTCAAGTGTTTGTGTTTGGTGGACAGACTCGGATCAATTGCCTGTATCGACTAAAGTCTCATCCTGCCTCTTCTGTTTGTCAAAATTATCTAAGTCAGTTAAATGGGCAGAACTAAGAGTGGGAAGCTCAGGAAACTCTAAATCTTGTCTGTGGGCATGTACAGCCGCAAACAACCTGACTGGACAGATTAGGAGCATAAAACATTGCTTTTAATCTGCCATTTACTTCTGTAGTTCACTCCTCAGGCTTTCAACCCTGCAAGTCTCTTCTGGATTAATCTGTATTGTTGAGGAGAATTGCGGTACAGACACTAAAACTCGTTTGAAGAAATAGTTGTTGATAAAAACTCTCACAGGGGATGCCAGCACACTTGGCTGGAGCGCGAGTACTGTGTTATCAATATGGCTGAATTTCAATCAGTTAATTCCTGAAAGCTTTTGTCGTCTAAAATGTGGGGTAACTTTCCAGAATGGTTTTGCTCACTAATTTAAGGTAGATGCGTTTGAATAGGACTGTTTTATTACTGTCCACATCTCAGGCTCCCTTTCAGTCCTGCTTTATCAGGCCCTGGTAATAAATAACCCATTTGTCTGCAGAGAAAGCCCAGCACCAAACATTTGTAATGGACAGCACAGGGACTACAGTAGGGCTGACTAATATGTGATTGATTGATCATTGATCCAGTATTGAGGCCCTGAAGATGAAGAGTGCTGGCTTTCCCCAATGGGATTGCTGTATTGATGTGCTTAGAAAGTAGTTCTCATTTATTTTTCTTTCATTCTTGACATTTTGCTAAGGAACAGGTTGCCTGCAGGTCTTTAAAAGTCCATTTATTCGTCCATTTTTTAATTGCTTGTCCTGATTGGGGCCATGGTGGCAAAAGGGTGAGCAGGGCAGCCCCACATGTCCTTTTACTCAGCAATATTCTTCAGCTGCTCCAAGGACAGCTGGAAGATGTAATCCCCCAGCATGCCCTGGGTCTTCCCTATTGTGCTCAGCAGTCATTCCCAGAGCACCCCCCTGAAAGAGACAATAAAGCCTGATTTATACTTCTGCATCAAATTGACGGCGTGGGTAGCCTCGTACTCTACGACGTACCATATGTAAAGTTTTAGAGCTTTTATTACCTGGTTGAAATGAAAGCTCAGTGGTTCTGACGGCTTTTTCTTTTGGTTTGGTCATAGAGCATTTTAATAATCCCTTAAAATCCCGCTGGATACCTGTAAAGCATTGTTTGCCATGTGCTCCTCCACGTTCTAACTTTCCTCCTCTTTTTGTGGCACTCCTTTCTTTCTGTCTCTGTTAATTTCCGCAGAAGCCTAAAGCCCCTTCTGTGGATTCAACCACCAAACTGACGCGTTCTCTGCCATGTCAAGTGCATGTTAACCAAGGGGAAATTCTGTGAGTAGCCAATCAAACACTAGGGACTTTATCTGCAGTAAAGTGGTGTTTCGTGCTCACAGTTTAATGCTGCCATTGTGTCTCTAAACAGGAACACAGAGCAGTGGCCACAGAAGCTCATCATGCAGCTGATTCCACAGCAGCTACTGGTGCGACCATTTCTTGGCTTTTGTTTTACTGTGTCAAAGTGTTGCAGTGACTTGTTTGCAGCAGCAACTTGTTTATAAATTATGCACAACTAAGTCCTCTTTTGCCTGCTCTTTCCGTAGACAACCTTAGGTCACCTCTTCAGAAACTCTCGGATGGTTCAGTTTCTCTTCACCAACAAAGACGTGGAGTCGCTGAAAGGCCTGTACCGCATTATGGCCAATGGTTTTGTAAGTAGCCTTTCCCTAAGCCTAAAATGTTTGTTCCCCATGTCCTATCTATCATTCAGCATACCTCAATACATTTTCCATGAGTGACAACTGAGTGCAGGTCCCACCTCTGTCCAGTAGTTGGGCTGAGCATGCAGTATCAGCTGTGTTGCAGTGTTGCAGTAAAGACTCTAGAGGGGGTTCCAGGCCATACATTTAGTCACCTTAGAAGTAGATAATATGATATAAAAATGGTTTACCATCAGTTGAGACAAAACACTTTTTTATACTTTATTTACAGTTTTCAGTTTTACAGTGACAAGATATATTGAAAAGACAGATACAGAAAAATCCAACAACTAATAAAACTGCCAGACAGTTTACAAGATTCCATAAATAGTCTTTCAAAAGCATATACAATATTAACATCCCGGGGAATGAGGTAAAGTAACATGGACAAATGAATCGAGTTAAACACCGCACACACTCATGTAGCCAGGAAGGTCAGAGTCTCTGTGGATGTGGAGTAACATGACACTGTGCCAAAAAAAATCTCTTAAATATATTCTTTGTATTGGGTTTGTGCAGACGAGGTCTTTCCATTTGTATAACAGACAAGACCTCCTTGAACCAGTGTGCAAAGCAGGATGGAATAGTAGACTTCCAGGTCACTACTCCTAAGTGCAGAGCAATCTGCATGTTGTACGGCATGCAGATTGCAGATGGCCAGATGGTTGGGCTGAATGTCACTCAAGCCACTCACACTATACAAGTTATATAATGTAGGGCAAAACCAGAAAAGATGTGCTAGTGATCCTTCAGCTGAGCAACACTTGTCACATTCAGAAGACGCTGATGGGAAGATGCGGGTCAGTTTGAGTAATGCAGTCTATGCATTGCCTTGTACTGGATTAACCTGTAGCGTGAGCTAATACAGCAACAATGAACCCGGGACATTGCCCCTTCCCAGAGCTCTGCTGATATCTCTGAATTCCTCACTGACCCAGGCTTCCCTAATAAGATCTGAAGAAACCGAAATAGCAAAGCAATTTACAAATTTTGATACTAGCTGCTTGGAATCTGGAGGGAGCAAGAGATTTTCAAGAAAAGGAGGAGTGGTGGGGGTGGACTGAAACTGTGGGCACTGACTTGAAGATACTGGGGGAAAAAATGTGGAAGATTGAACTTAGTACTTAATTTAGTAAATGAAGCAAATTGGCCATCAATATACAAATCTTAAAAAGTTCTGATACCCTTCTCTCTCCAGACTCCGCACACACCATCTAACTCTCCAGGCTTGAATTATTTATTTGGCATATGGGGGTGTATATTGAAACAAGTTTGGCAGTCCACTTTTATCGGATTTAATGTTCACAAACAATTCTTTAAGGTTGAGTTTCGTTGAATTGACTTGTCTATCAAGGCAGAACTGGAAAACAAAAGAGCAGGGAGTGAAGAATATTCAACAGCAGAAGCTTCTAGCTGTAACCATGAAGGGTTCCTTTCAGTCTCTGCGCCTCCGCATTTTCAGTAGGTAAGAGCCCTGGAGTTAGACGCCCATTAGTAGTGTTTAAAAATAGGCAGACCAAGACCACCCTCCATAAGGAATCTATGTAAGTGAGCATTTGGATATCCAATGTGATTTGTAGCCCCATATAAAGGGCAATATAATAGAACCGAGCTTATTAAAACAAGGATGAATTCAAGTATATTGACATGTTTTAAAAAAGATAGAGAAACCTGTGTAGGCTCACCATTTGGATTGCATTTACCCGTCCAATCATGGATAAAGGCAGGATTTGATATTCATTTTGAGTTTTTCCACTGATACTGTGTTAAATTTTAAAATATGCCTTGGGTTCTTGATCAGTTTCATCCCCAGATGGGGGAAACAGTCCTTCACTACTCAGGAAGTCTTAAGTAAATTGATCCACTAAAGGCGTAAACACTTTAATTGTTTAGTTTTGATTCAGTTCTAGAAGACTAGCATAAGGATAGGGGGTTTTGTCAGTGTGGTGCATTGTTAATCAGGTAATACCATTGAGAAATAGTAGAGGCATTAATAGTATTCAGTCCAGCTGAGCCATGCCTCTTTGCCTGAATTTGATTTACAGCCCTGGGAAAGCACAGTATGAATTAAGTTAATACCATTTGCATTCAATTTATAAAACCGATATGTTTGATTGGGCAAAGGATCTCAGGAGTAGGTTATGTCCCCAAGCCCGAGCCCATCCCATAATTACGACGGAGTCCCGAGTGAAGGTCTTAAACTGCCCTGTGACCCTCCCTGCAGGCCGGCTGCGTCCACTTCCCCCACACCACTTCGCCTTGCGAAGTGCGGGTGCTGATGCTGCTCTACTCATCCAAGAAGAGAATATTCATGGGGCTCATCCCCAACGACCAGAGCGGCTTCGTCAACGGCATCCGGCAAGTCATCACCAACCACAAGCAGGTCCAGCAGCACAGAGCGGTGAGTGGCAATAGGAGGAGGAGGAGGCGGAGCTGGTGGGCAGAGAGGAAGGTTTCAGTGTGGAGTGGGGAGACCAAAAGGAGGTGATAATGAGAAGGCATTATGGAGGAGCGCCCGGGAATTGAGGTGCATTGTTTACGGCATTAAGGTGCATTGTTATTGACATTTCATTTAGCAAGCCCGGTATCTTCACAGCAGCCACTAACGTCTCTCACTCTAGTAGAGGCTAATGGGACTAGCATTAGCTAAATTCCTACTGCAACATTAGCTGACTGTTGCACTCCCAGCTCATTATCTCTGCTTAAGTGAGGAAAATATAGGTGCAATACATATGAACTCTGTATGTTGAATTTGTTGCACACCTCAACAAAATTGTTTTCTCAACTCTGTGCATTGTGCAGTGTGTTGGGTTACTGTTTATGGTAAATAAATTTTTTGTTGATGTTGTCATAGAGGTGGTCTCGTCTCATGTGTGCAAATTAAAAGGACAAAAAATTAGAAATGCCTCTCAATATAATGTAGTCAAAAATAGCTTTAACTCTTTAAAAATAAAATAATAATATAATTAAATCTGTAAACATTTCCAAAAATGTAACCACAAACTGAATATTATACATTTAGTAAAAGCAGAATTTATGGCTGAGCTGTTGAAATGCAATGGATTGTACGGTGACCACCGAGTCTACATCAATTACAAATAACAGATTTAAATTTTAGCTGCTTAAATCACAGCGCCTAAAACAATCTCAAAGCTAAATTTTGTAATTGTTTTTAATTATTACACCCATCTTTGAGGTGGACTGTGGTGAAACACTGGAAATGTATAGATTTAGTGTGGTATGAGTACTGAAGAAGTAGTCTTGGTGGATTAGTTGGTCAACATAAATAGTATTTTGATGTGCCATTAAACTTTTTAAAATCCCTTTTAAGCAAAAATTTTCACAATTTCTTACATTTACAAACCTAAAACCTATTTGAAATATCTTGTTTTACACTTATTTCGCTGTAAATACAACAACGAGCCTTCATAAAAACTACTACTACTATTATTATTATTATTATTACTAAGTATTCACACTAGTTGCTAGAGTCTGAAAATGTGGAATGTTGTGAGATTCAGCTTTAAACAAAGCACAACTTGGCTAGATATGAATTTTTCAGTTCAGGCTGCCCAGCTGTTAACATTACATGAGACACACTTTAGGAGAAGCAATGGAGTGGCAGTGGTGTGTGCCAACCTTTAGGGACAGGAGCAGAAAATCCAGAGACGAGGCCCCTCCTTCCTGCCTCTCTGGTAAAGGTAGACCAGTTCTTGTCGCTCACTTCATTACAAGTTACAAACGCTGCTGCCTTGTCCACATGATATGAAATTTAAATTTCACTTCCCCTCTCTGCTCATCTTCATCCCTGGAGACAGGGTGATTTAAAATGTGTCCTCTGGATTAGCCGTCTTTTCCATCACAGGGCTCCACTCCAGCTTATTGCATCCAGCGAGGAGGGATGCTGCATAGCTTTGAAACAATGCAGCATCCAGTCACAGAGAAGCAGTATGTCTCCATTTAAATAAATGAAGCCTGTTGTCAGGTTTACATGAGTAAGATTACATTTCTCCTCGCAGTCTGCTCTCATCAGCGGTGATGGCACTTGTTTACTCAACCTGCTAATTTTATGTCTTTGCAAAAGTGCGTCAGCCATATATGTAACTTGAAGCCGTGTGTGTATGAGCATCAGGGCATTTAGAGAAGGCAGAAGACATGAAATTGTAATGAAGATTTTTTTTTTTTTTCTGCCTCTTGTGTATCATCACATATTCAGTGCTGCATTGCTAATAGGGAAGCGCTACAGCAATCTTAACGTAATTAAAATTTCAATTTGGACCAGTAGTTAAGGTTTCTCTGTGCAAAGCCCTGGAGTGGCATTCTTCGGGAACAAGATTGCAGTGTGTTCTGTTTACAGCAAGACGAAATTGAATATTTTTTCCATGAAAAGTGATGCAGGCCCTAAATCGTGATCCGGGATTTTACAGGTTACTGGGTTAAAGACAGGAGATAAATCATAGACAGGAGAAGAGAGAAAGAGGCAGCTGTTTTGTTAGCTCCCTCAAAAGACCTAAAGCTGTGTGTTGTGCCGTTATTGTTGGTCAGAAAACACACCGCGCATTAGCGCAATCCCAGGGTGATTTGTTCAGATTCAGCAAGATGGATGTGTGGAGGTGTTTTTTTCCATCACACTTTTTTTTCTGAGTCTGTAGTTAATAATTTGTGCTTAGAGGGGGGGATGAAACACCCTTCATTCCTCCTTGTCTCTCCCTCTGTGTGGAAACACACAAGCCACCTCAGCACAGTTTCAAATTTTGCCTTTTTAAGCAGTTATATCTGTCTTGTCTGATTCCTGTTTTTAAAGTGCAGGACTGTGCAAATAAAATGAGAAATAGAGTCAGATTATTCGGAATAATCAGAACCTTACAGGTTGGCAGGTAAAGCAACAGGTTACTCCATTTATTTTTTTACTCTGCTTTTAAACGATGGTTGGATATTTTATGACTTTTTTCACTCCAGACTTTGCTGACGGTTTTAGTCATCAAGCTTCAGTTTGTTTTAAACTGTGAAATCCAAAATAGCAAACACCTCAGCAGGTGGTGCTTGAAGTTAAATCTCCACTGGTGTATCATCGTATCCATGTTTGTGTTTGCCTTCCATCTGCACACTCATGAACAAAGAAAGTTAATATTTGGTTTCAGCCCGACACTCTCAAGGTTGTTAGCACAATAAACATCCATTACATGCGGAAAATATGTCGACTGAAAATATAGATTCTAGATTCATTGTGATGGTACAAGTATTTATATTTATTTGGACAAGCGGTTTGGCCAGAGGGTTGTTAGATGAGCTTTTTAAAACAGGTATTTTTAAGTGTAGGTCCACAATGTCTTAAAAAAAATGTGTGTAAGTGATGTGGGACAAAACATGCATTCCTCATCCCTACAGAAATACAGAGTGAAATTTGAAATCAATAAGACTTTAACTTTTGAAGATGCCCAGTTGATTTGTCTATCTCAGACTGCCGTAGTCCCATATGAGCTACAGCTGAATGTATAGAACACATTTCTGCACAAAATGAGGAAATCGCTCTGAGAAGGATGAATTTATATTGGGGAACTTTTAAGGTGTTGATGAGTATAAAGGTGAAGCAGAGCAGTGCTAGAGAAGACTGCATACTGTGTCTATAAATAAAGCCGATAAAATGTTCTGTTGTTCTGTATGACGCTGTTGGGAAAATATCTTTAATGCTGTTTCGCTTCTGTGCAGCAGTTGGGCGGTGGAGGGGGTCCAATGCAGCCTGGTCAGGTTGCCCCCAACCAGAACTTCCTCAACAGGCCCCCTGGCCCCATTCCTGTCTCCCACGGCAACGTCCAGCAGCAGGTAAATGAACCCACTCAGCTCTGGCATGTCTACCTGTGTTCCCACACCTGTGCTCCTCCCACACTGCCTGTTGTTGACGCCTTTACTGCACCAGCACCCGCTGATTTCTGCATGCCTTATTGGTAACCCTTTCCTCCGCTGTCCTCCTTCCCCCCCCACATTTCCACCATTCTCCCCACTCCTCCTTCTCTCTGATCTGTCCTATGTCCAGTCTGTGGTGGTGGGGATGCCCCCGGTTAGTCAGGTCTCTATGATGGAGGAGCAGCAGAGGCAGAACAACATGGTGAGACCTGCAGTAGCCTCTTAACATTAACAACATGTGTCCAGGGGTACTTTTTCCCAATTTTCCAACACAATGTCCTTTATCTGTATTTTTTTTTTAATGTTGCCCATGTATAGTGTCAGAAATAAAAGTAAATAACGGAGTAGGATGCTTATTTAAATGATGTTATAGTCAATCCCAGCCTTTGTCGAACTAGTAGACATCCTGTGTTTTTCTCATTGTGAGGAATACTGTGTACAAAAACACACACACACACACACAAAAAAAAAAAAAACACACACACACACACACACAAACAGACACACTGTCACTCCCATCCTTCTGTTCAGCATAACACTGGTGGACAATTTCCAATTAGCATGTGTTGGCTTTACCAGTCCCTGTTGAATGTTCCTCTTGTTGCTTGCCATTGAAAAAAAATAATATTTCATTGATAACTTGCATGCATACGTTTGTTTCTTTTATTGCACAGGAACTGTTTGCACTGAGCATGAAGTGATACAAAACCAATATCAGAGATAGACCTCGTCCAAACATGATGGTTTACATCCACACTGTACAACTGTTATCTTTTCTATGTATCTTCAGAATCAGATCAGAATCAGACATACTTTAATAATCCCAATATGGGGAAATTACTTGTGGGGGGGAGAAAAACAAGAGGAGAGGGGAGGAGAAAAAAAGCAAAGGCTTTTCAAAGGCTGCGATAATGTAATTTAAAACTTTAGCTTCACTAATGTCAGCCATAAGGTGTTAAGCACCTTATGTTATTTTATTACGTTATTTTCAGCATGCAAGTAATCTTGTGAAAAGACAGGACGCAACCACTCATTGGACTTTTGGAACTTTGACGTCAGTCATTAAACACACGGAAGATACCAAGTTATAAAAAATGTATCACAAGTAACAAAACCAACAGGAATTTTCAAAGTTGGTATCTTGATGAGCTGTTTTTGTTTTTATAATAACTCATTCATAATTGGTTTTCTTCCATGAGATGAATCTGATGTAAGATGTCTTAAACTTTACTTCAGATGACAATGAGAGCCACTGGACCAGCCAACCAGCAGCCGCCAGTCAGCGGCGCTCCACCCAACCAGGTCGCACAAGGCGGACAGGCCCCGCCCCAGGGTCCCATACTCCGCCTCTCGAACCCCGGAGCCAATCCCCAGCTTCGCAGTCTTCTCCTCAGCCAACAGCAGCCAGTAAGAGTGCAAGAAATGTCTGAGCGAATCGCCCTGCAGTAAATGTCTTGCAGGTTATCATGTGACCCTAACTGCTCTTCTGGAGAGGTTAACGTGGCTCTTCTGTCTCTGTCTTTGCAGCAGGGTGGAGTGTCTCACATGCCAGGCATGATGGCTCACCAGGGTTTAGGGCAGCAGTTGGTCCATCCAACACCAGGAGGGGCTCAAATGCAGGGCCAATGGAGAGGGCCCTTGGCAGGTCAGCAAGAATCTCCAGAGATGGAAGGGGGAAACAGACATTTTAGAATATAGGTTATGGAGACTTATTACACACGTAGGTTAAAAAAAGTAATAAAAACAACCAAAAACTTGCTGGAAAAGTTATAGGATTATTTTTCACAACTACAGAAACAAAGTCTAAGTTTTTTCATTTTTTTTTACTACATTGCCTGCCAACTTTACACTACTACAGACTATTTTTCAAAGCATAAAGTAGATTTTTTTGTTTTGTTTTGTGTTTTAAAATGTTTAATGTTTTTGTACAGTTTCACATGCAGCAAACACAAAAAAAAAAAAAAAAAAACACAAACTTTCAGAGACTTGCTCATGTTTGGATATTCCATCCCAGTGTGAATGCTGCCCAAATTTATATTTGTCAAACTTACTTTATTTTTGTCCACATTGATCGAAAAAGTTTGCAGAACTTCTGGTGCATTTCTATATTGATCTAAAGCTCCAACTTTGAAGATTTCCATTGCTAAAAGATTAATTTCCTTTTGGTCCCGTTCAGACAAACACAAGGTGCACTGACGATGAGTTAAAACCAGTGAGAGTGCAGATTGGTTTTCCCAGACCTTGTCAGTCATTGGTTGCCCTTTGTGTTTTGGCAGATAATTCGCACTGCATGTCCTCCAAAAAAAAAAAATCAAAACACTGTATTATGAATCTTTTTCACCTTGGTCTCTGCAACAAAAATGAAACCTCCCCCACCCAAACACTACCGGTGGCATCATTGAACTGTGATGCATGAAGTTCATTTGTGTTTATTTTAAGCAATATGTGTGAGTGGGGGCCTAACTTACTAAATTGTCTTCAAAGACAGACATGGATAACGCGCATGTGGCTTTGCTCATCGTTTGTTGGTCAGGTTGGATTTTCTGACAGAGTAGGAGAGTGATACATTTTATTTTCTGGAGACTTACTTTTTAGACTTAGTCATCACATTCATGCACGATTTAGGCATTTCAAATCACTGAAGAAGACAAATGATAAAATACCTTGATCTTTACCTACGTCACTCACATTTTAAGGGCCTCTAATTTGACGAAATAAATGGCTGCATGGGAGTTACGAATAAAGATTGATATGATCTGGAAAACTTTGTAGTAATATAAAACATTGTATCCAGATGTAGGGGGGAAAAATGTGACTTTAAACTGCAAATATCATAAACTCCTCAGTGTATCTTTGATATATATCTCTTAGTTTTCACAATCCTGCTTCAAAGTCTATCTTTAACACCAGTATGAATTCTGAAAAAAAAATCCCTCTTCTAAATCTCTCTTCCTCTCTCCATCTGTCTCCCAAATGCCCCGAACCTGTGTGCAGGTCAGATCCTGATGTCTGGAGGTCAGAGAGGCGCTGTGCAGTCCAGTGTCATGGAGGATGAAATCCTCATGGACCTTATCTGATTGAGCATCATGGACACACCAACAGGATTTTTAGTTGAATCTTGGCAGCCATTTGCCTGTTTTTACACACATATATCAGCTCTGTTGCTTTATTTCCACAAATGTTCAACATAATTAAGGAACAAATCATGAGTAGTTTCTTCTTTTTTTTTTTGTATGGGACTGAGCAGCTGAAGTTAATTAGGGGCAGACAATGCGAGTATTAGTTTTTCATGTAAATGGTCAAACCGACAGCATGCTAATCCTCCATGCTACACGCTGGATGAAGCCAAACCAGTGGAAACAGTCAATTATGTAATGCTTCTGGAAACTCTACTTTTCTATAAGTTTTCATTGTATCATGGAAATCTGAAATAGTTATTGTAAAATGAGATTTAACTTTTTTTCTGTTTTTTTTTTTCTTAATTGATAAAGCTGTTTGATGAGGACAGAATAAACTTAAGGAGCATAGATGTATTGAAGAAGTCGTTTATCATTGTGAAGACGTTTTACTGTTGCACATGATGATGATGATGATGATGATGTGCTGGTGATGGCCAGCCAAAGTCTCCACAGTCCTGCCTCCCCGTGTGAATGCAGCTTGGACCCTTAAGGTGAGAGAGAGACTGAAATAGACACAGTAATAGATAGTTCAGTGTCTTTTTCTGCCAAATAGTGTCACAGTGTTAATTTTAACTACTCCAATATGTTGGGGAACCATAGAGAGTCCCCTTGTGCCAAGTAGTCCTACCAGATGGCATCAGTTGGCCATGTTTCCCTTGGCATAATGTACAATCAGGCTGACCGCATGCGCACACGGCAGAGACTACATATATGCCCACAGTCTGCTTTAGAAACATGCCCTCCCGTGCACGCACGATGCATGCGCGTTAAATCCTGCACATCAACAAAACACTATCCTGTCGGGTACCTGACAGTGACGTGTGTGCTCAACCTGCAGAACCAAGCTGGCCAGGCACGGGAAGAGAAACGCACGTGAACTTTGCTCAACCTCACACATGCGTCCGTCAGACATTCACCTATCGGTTTGGACAGTTTTTTTTTTTTTTTTTCCTCCACACTTGGTCACTGTGTACACACATACACACTCACCAACAGGAAGTGATGTCAGTCCCTGTCACCTGGGAGACAGAGACGGTTGCTAAGATACCATGACAGTGGGTTCTTGTTTCTGAGCTTTTCCTCAGCCCCGCTTTCACATGGACTCACACAGATAGACACTAGTCCCTCAGTGGCTGGTGTTCATCCCTCCCATCCCTTAATCACTGGCCGGCCCTCGGAGCCCGGCTTAGCCTCACTTTATCTTCCTCTCTCTCACTCACTCTCTCTCCATCTCCATCTATCTGCCTCTATCTCACCATCGAGCTATTAGCGCCTGCCTGAGCTCATAAGTTTTTCAGTATCTCTTTTATTAAGAGCAAAATTGTTCACAGGTCCATATGATGAACTCCAGTGTATATAGGCTACATCACATTGATGCTGTTTATAATACACTCCTCTTCAAAGAAAATTCCATTATATTTCCCCACTATAGCACATGGTGTTAGTATGTCATTATGGTGATACTGTTGGTGTGTACAGTACATCCATATTTTATTCACACCCAGGAACCATACACCTTACAAACTTTATATATAACCTGTGGTTCTGACAAAGAACGTGGATCCGATTAGGTTTTTAAGGCCTTGCTGCATAAATTAGCATTTTAAAGAATAAAATTAGATTTTCTAAAAACTTGCACAAAGTGAATATAAAATGAAAAGTTAGGAAATAAATGGCAGAGGACTTAAAGGTCCAGTGTGTAACATTTAGGAGGATCTATTGGCAGAAATGAAATATAAAATTCAGAAGTATGTTTTCATTAGTTTATTATCACCTGAAAATAAGAATCATGTTTTCATTACCTTTTTAGAATGAGCTGTTTTTATCTACAGAGGGAGCCTGCGATGTTTGTAGAGCAGCCTGGAATGGACGAACCAAACACTGGCTCTACATGAACCTTTTGCATTTTTCATGGCCACCATAGTTTCTCCTACGTGCTTGGAAAGGGAGCGTGTGTGGAGGGGTTATCAGTTGGTTGTTATGTGCAATCTCACTGCTACTAAATCCTACACACTGGTCCTTTAATGTGTCAACTATATCTCAACTGAGACTTAAGCTTTGTCCTCCTATTTCTGACAAACATTGAACACTCATATGGCTACATGGAGACACTACGAGTGGGTGAGATATCCACCAACAGTGGCCTTTATGGGTCACCCAACGACTGTTCAGTGACCCATGGACATGTGATTGATTTAAAAATAGAAAGCTAACTTATGGCTGTTTCCTCATTACTGTGACTTTAAATCTCATAATTATGGCTTAGCAATAATGTCATCATTTGGAAGAGATCAAACAATTCTACTATTTCATGAGACGGGTGCATGGGAGTAGGATAAGTAGATCAAAAAGTTGCAAAGATAAATACACTGACATTTATCTTTGCAATGATTACGAAAAGATCATCAAGATTTGGGTCACAGTGGCTGACAGCAGGTTAGGCAGTGAAGCCCATGTCATTTTCTCCAGCCATGTCCTCTTCGTCTTCTCCTCGGGGATCCAGAGAAGTTCTCTAACCAGGTTGGGTATGAAATCCTAATCTCCAGCTCCACCATGTATATCTTAATTTCCCATGTGAACCAAACCCTAGAGATACTCAAACTCCTTCACTCTAACAGAACAATCCGCCATTTTCTGTGAGTGTACTATGGCCTCTTACATGGAGGTGCTGGCGCCAGGCAAGTGTGTACACTAGCTGTGGATACCCGTCCGTACCTAACACTGCACAAGCATGCTGTGTACCTGAAACCAGAACACCTCTGGCCAAAGATCAAGTCATACCTTCTGAACTGCATCCGTATGTCTTCACTCAGGTGAACAGAGCTGTTGACAGGTCTCCATCTGGTGAAGAGTTGGATCAGGTCTGATAGACAGACCTGGGATATGTGGCTGAAGTCCCTGCTCAGGGGGGCCTCGCCTCTCGTTTCCAAAGGGATTTTATTTTTTCATTCTTGGGGAGGCTGGAGAAATTGAAACTGAGTGTGTGATGTTCAAAGCCTCCATTGTGGAGGCAGTTGTCTACATGTGATACGTGGACTTGGAGATCATGTCCCCTAGGGTATCATGTGGGGGTTGCTGAGGGAATATGGGGATGCAGGGCTGTTGATTTGAGCCATCAAAGCCATCTGGGCCTTGCACACCCAGAGAGATGTAGAGAGCATGTTCACTATGGGTAATGGGCTTTGCCAAGATTCTCTCACAAATATCAGACCTTTATTTCAATATAAGTGTTAAAAATCTGAATTGGAAGAAAGGCATCGTAATTTTAAGAGTGAAAAATGACTGTTGAGCAGTAAGTGAAACACAAACGTTCACATTTTCATAGTTCTGGGTCAAATGACACAAGTAACTATGTACACTCAAGTGTGCCACAAATGTTTACTCACAAAAGTATATTACACTATATGTCACTGAATTCATAATGATTTCATAATCAGCAAGCATTTTCTCATAAGGTCAAGATCAAACTTTATTATTATCAGAAAGAGAAACATTAGGGTGGTCAGGTGCATTGAAGGGGACACTACAGGTGAACTAATATACTAACAGATATTGCCATTAAACTTCCCCAGCTATGGGTTCAAGCCTGACTTGGGGCCCTTTGCTGCATGTCATCCCCTCTCTCTCTCTTTGCTGTTTTCCTGTCAATAAAGAAAAAAAGTGGCAAAAAAATTTATGAAAAAACCACCCCCACCTAAATGTGTATTTTGGGCGTTTTCTTTCCACTAGTCTGAAAGAAGACATGTTACTGGAAGCACAATAGCCTAACATCTAAAAATGGACCAGTGGACGAAAAAACAATGATTTTGCTTGTAGTGTCTCATCTTTAAAAAAAAAACAGAACATGAAGATCCCAAACAACTCTTCTGTCTGTGTCAGCATTCTAAGGTTGAAATATTTATTGCAAATTTATGACTAAATTTCCCATAATGACCAATTTTATCCCCAAAACCTGATGACCAAAATGCAATGCAGCACCACTCACCCTGCTGCTCTATATCCATTTCTACAGATTCTGTTCACTCCACATACACCTGCACCCCATAATGCAACAATTTCAGACAGGGTCTTGTGAAAAATACTAATATAAAGCCAACTATTGAGTATGTAAAAAAAGTTCACACTGGACAAATGGCTAATTGGAGAATATTTGAAAATGCAGGCATGCATACAAAAACAACTAACAACTCTCCCACACAGCAACACACAATGGAAACGATGACCTACTAATAATTTGAATAGATTGTTGTTGAAAACACTGAACATATTAAATTGAAAATTGACAAAAAGTGCCCCAAATTTGCAGTTTCATTGACAATGTAGTAGAGAAAATGCATTCTGGCATAAGGTTCTGTGAAACATGAAGTAAACAATAACATTTTATGTTATGTTATGTTTTATATTTTTTTATAAGTAAACAATATTCATATTCAATATTTTATAATCATGTTATCTAATGTGCAAATAAAGAGATGAAACTGTTCATGGTAGAAACTCTAGTACAGAAGTAAATATAAGGGTTAGTGTAACTCTATGTTGCAGGCCCAGGAAGAACATGTCTATGTAAAGTAAGATAGCGCTGAGTAAAGCTCAGGTCAAGATCACCAGAGAAGAATGATTCCCAGACAGGAAAGGAAGATCCTTGTCAAATATGGGTATAAAATGGCTATCAGATGTGCTATCCTCTATACTTACTGTTACTGTAGTCACCAGACACTAGTCAGCAGGAGTCATCATCTGTACGAAGGTATATATGGGAGTGATTTCTTAGTTTCTTTCTTCAGTTGCTTCTCGAGACAACTCGGTTTGCATGTATATCTTGTTTGTGAGTCTGTGTCTCTGCTTTGGGTTTCCTTTAGTGCGAGTCTCTCACTACAGTCAGATAGCATAAAGTCTAAAGTCATCTAAGGATTCTTTTGGGTATATTGATTTAAATAAAATAAACAACTACTGGCCTGTAAGACATAATATTTCTTGTAAACTAACTGCCAAAAATCTGTAGTACATAATGTGTATTTTAAAGTATTATTATAAAATGGGCAATTAGAACAGAGAGATGGAAATCACTAACTGAAAAATATGTAAAATAAGTACAGTAAGTAATAGACAATATAACTTCTGTAATGGATTAAACATCTCAATAAAAAGCTTCAGACTAAGGAAATTTCCTTTTATATGCCTCATATAGATTTATGACATTTGCATTAAAAATGTGATTAAACACATTAAGCGCAGTTAACCTTAGCCATTACACCCCTCAACACATCCTTCCATATGACCAAAGTCTGAGCTGTTTTACTGCTCTTTGCTGCAAGGCGGTCTTGGTCAGAGCAACGGTGGCCTAAAATTAAAACGCTCCTGCTACGTGTTGGTTGTCTGTTCCTGTTGTCACCATGAGGAAGGAGGCAGTGGACCAGTTTAAGGGCCAGTTAGGGGAGGCTATGGGCTAGAGATGAAGATTATACAGCCTGGTGGCACAAGCGCTGCTCAGCATAATGGGGTTTATAGGCCTGGGGGCAGAGTTTGTTTTACGCCCTGCCGGAGGAGGTGTTGACAGGAGCGAGCAATGGAGGAGCAGGAGAGGCAGTCTTATTATTAAGCCTCGCCACACAGAGAGTGAATGTGGTGTGATGGCCGCGGTGGTAGATGAGTTTTAGCCTGCACATGGAGAGATTAGGAGGAGGGTGCAGGTTGGGAGGGGCATATAACACCTAAAATTGGATTTGTCTTCAGGGGCTGTTGGTTGAGGTCCACTTGGCCTGGGTGTGGGAAGATCAATGGCACTATCGGTCCTAATGGATGCGGTTGCCAGATAGGGCTGTTTCTGATAAGGGAGGAGTATTGGCTTTAGTGGTGGAGATACAAGCTTGGTTAACTTTGCGTTTAGAGGAGCTTCTTCTTTCTCTGTAGGTAAAAACACATTGTTTCTGGGTGTACACAGGCATAAGCGTCAGAGCGTTCAACCCTTGCTTGCTAGTCACGACAGCCCGAATGTTCAATTTGGTATCACACAGGTTGGAATCTCTGCAGCCGGTGGCGTGCTGTTTCACCATCAGATACGGATCAGGGCTCAGTTAGGGCCTCGGAGGCTGTGGAGAGTTCGGTCTTGAGATAGCGTGTGAGGAAGGAGGGGGGAGATGCAGAAACAGTAGGAGGAGAAAGCCAGGCGGTGTGTTCTCAACACCACCGGCGTATCTGCCCCACTTCCTCGCGCCACGCCGTTCCAGCACAGCACGGCAATGGCAGAGGTTTCACCCCAGCGCAGCAACTGCCGCCGAGGCCCCGGGACCTGAACATAACCCAGGGCAAAGAGAGCGCAATGCACGTCTCTCAACCAATATGCCAGCACAGCATAACACACAGCAACACAAGGCAGAGCACAGGAGGAGAGAGCAGCCTCATCCACAGGGCAGAGGCAGAAATACTGGATGGCAAGCTTTTTGTCTTCATATGAAGCGCATTAATCCTCACAGTGGCTCCCATCTTTATTCATTCATCGGCCTGTGGTGTCCACTCAATCAGTCAGTTAAAGGCTGGCCTGATGGAGCGAGCCCTGCACACCCACCACAGAGAGAGGAGGGGAGGTTATACTCCACACCATATAGCCTGAGCAGACACTGCAGTACAGAGATACAAACAGAGTGGGTTGGGGAGGAAGAGGAGGAAGTGTGAGGGGGCTCTTTTAAATAATGAGGCAAAGGGGGGTGGGGGGAGAAAAGGAGCGGGGGTGAGACAACTGGAGGTGAAAAGAGAGCCGCCTTGTATCAAGAGTGAGTGAGATTGAGAGGTTCAAAGTAAAGGAGGGAGAGAACCGTCAATATCAAGAGCGAGAGATAGGGAGAGATCCAGGACGACGACAACACCTCCACAGACTACTGAGGTATGTATGTGTGAGAGAGGGAGGGAGGGAGAGAAAGAGGGAGGGTGGGATGTGGTGGTGGAGAGTGTGTGAGAGTTAGAGAGAGGGAGGGATATCCACTGCACTGTTGTGTGACTGGAAATTTAATAGAGAGAGAGAGGGAGGGAGGCAGGAAGGCAGCAGGGGAGGGGAGAGGAGAGAGAGAGAGAGAGAGAGAGAGAGAGAGAGGAAAGAGCGATGCAATGCAAAAGCACTGAGCGAGAGCCGTTGTTGGTGGAATTACAGAAGACTGGGACAGACAGTGGACGCTACTGGACCCTCACTGCGGAGTGTGGGGCTGTTGGGGGGGGTCAAGTGAGCGAGAACATATAGTGCGTAAAGTGGAAAAAGGGGGCGACCAAGGCCAGTAGATTGTGCAGTGTGCAGCGTTTAATAAGAGAGAAACAGGTTGGCCACCCTGTTGCTGCAACCAGACTAAACATGTAGGGGTCAGTCATTACCTTCCCCATCTGAATCATGCTGCTCTATGTCTCTCTCTGTGTGTGTGTGTGTGTGTGTGTGTGTGTGTGTGTGTGTGTGTGTGTGTGTGTGTGTGTGAGTAAGAGTGCATGTGCGATGGAGCAGAGCTGGAAGGAAGACACGTGTGTGAGGAGTGTGTGTGAGAACACGTGCCTGTGATGGAGGGCTGGCGTTGAGGTGCAAGGATGTGAGAGAGTGATCCTCTGAGTCTCGATATAGAACGTTATCAATCCAGCACTAATCACCCGTCTGAATACCCCCCTCCACACACACACACACACTTCTCTCACCCTCCCTCCCTCTTCCCCTCTGCTATCTGATGGACACTCCACCACCCACCCACTTCCTCACATACCTCCCCATGTTAATATCCTGCTGAGGTGATTGACAACTCAACCCTGATCAGACCTTATAACCTTAACCTGACCTTAAACCTCACCTCACTCCCTCCCCACCTTTCTTTAATTATGTAACCCCCCGCCCTCTCCCTTATCCCTGGAGAGTCTTAGCTAAACTGCCCTCACTTGAGATCAATCACAGAATTCCTCACATCCTTTAAAGAAGGAATTTGGATTCTTTAAACTAAACACTCCTCTCCCTCCACCTCAGCATGTCAGTCAGTCCTACCTGTAGGCCTATATGTACTGTATGTACCGTGTGTGTATGACGGGAGCTGCAATGGCAGGCAGGACTCAGATCCAATGAGGCAGTGCTGTACAGGTGGGGCTCGGCACTGTGTGCTTGAGCGTTGCCAAGGGAACCGGCCAAGCAGCAAATATTCCCTGTAACAATCTGTAAACACCAGTATCATCATATTATAGAGATTATATGACCATATGGGCACGTGTGTGAGTGCACACAAAGGCAAAAACTGGAGAAAAGATGGCAAAATGTGCAGTTTGAGCATTGAGGCGTTGTGCACTGTAGAGGAGAAGCGTGGGTTCATCTGTCTAATTACGAGCACAATTGTGGCGATTATTGTTATCATTATAGTGGATGGATTTCTTTATTATGTCATCTCGTTTCGGGTTATTAATATTTACGCCTTTGCCACGGGCTGTCTGGGTCTTGTGCAACGCGCATGGCGATGTCTTCTGCAAACTGTGATGTGTTTGCATGGAAAAAATAAGAAATAAAAATAAGAACAAATGCGGAGTAAATAAATAAAGTTACATGTTCAGTGTCCCAGCAGCAGCAGCAGCGGCAGCAGCGGAGGCATCAGCAGTGCAGCGTCCCCTCGCCGTGGTTCCATCCACCTGAAGATTTCTGAGACAATTCTCATTACCAGCGGTGGCAGCGCAGCACTTGGAAAGGGAGAATCAATCTGAGAGAGGGAGAGAGAGAGAGAGAGAGAGAGAGAGAGAGAGAGAGAGAGAGAGAGAGGGAGAGGAGAGAGGAGAGGAAGACAGCGTCGGCGGCGGCTCTGCAGTGGAATACGCTGTTATTTGAGGGAAGGTGAGAGCTCTCGGAGTACCCGACCGACCAGCGCGCAGTTGAGCGGGATGTGTTTCAGGACTTGACCGCAGCAGCATCATGAAATAAAGGTGAGCCTCTCGTCAGTCACCGCACGGTCTGTCGGTGACATTCACACAGTCGGGGATGCAGATTCATGTGCGCCCGTTCTGTTGTTCGTCTGGTGTGTGCGTGTGTGTGTGTGTGTGTGTGTGTGTGTGTGTGTGTGTGGTAGCAGGCGCGCGCGTGTCAGACAGTTTGTGCATTTTTTTTAATTTTTTGCTCCACGCGCAACAAACTACTAGGCTAATGCGTTGGAATGGAAATCCGCATCCATGACCCGGGTGCGATGTGTGAACTGTCCTTCGGTGCCGTCGGCCTCCGCGCTGACTGTGTGGCTCCAAAGGTGTCTGATATCCAGGAATTACATGTATGAGGAGACAGACGTGTGTGTGGGGGGGTGAGAACATCGGGATGGGGATGGGGGGTGGGGGGGAGAAATGGATTTTGGATCGATCTGATTTGGCACCGTTTGCGCGATTCAAACTTTTCTTTTACATTCTGAGCTTCTGTTTGCTGTTTTTTTTTTTTTTGTTTGTTTGTTCTTTGTGTGTCACCGCAAGTTAATCTAACCTTGGCGATAAGAGGAGCATCCACTGTAGCACAAGCTGTTGACAGGGCTTTAATGTTTGATCCGGATAACGCGCGGCTTTCCCTCAAATATACTCAATTAAAGCTCTCTAATCGGGCCAGTTTACAGTCTTCATTTATGTGTTTGGGGTTCAGTTACCCCCACTGGCCCCTCGCTGATGACCCCAGATTCGGAGGAAAAAAATGCGCAGGCACCTTGCGGCTTATGCGCGGTGGGTTAAGCTCTGAGTCAGAGCCTGGGGCCCCTCCGGCTGAGAACAAGGAGCAGATAGATTAGGACTGATGAATGAAGATCTACTGCCTCTATCTGCAACACAATGATACGGGAATGAGAGGATTTAAATGCTAATGTGCAGTGTTTCAGAGAAATCCGAACGGGCCGGGGACTGGCGGGAGGAGATTGCTGGCAGTGTGTGGACCAGCTGGATGATCTCCTGAGTTTTATGATGGAGAGAATAAGTTATTAATGGGGTGTTGGAAGGTGAAGTGGGGCACTGGGGCAGGATTAGACAAGAGAGGAGTGGAGGGGGTGTTGAGCTGTGTGTATGGGCTCTAACAAGGAGGGATGTGAGGGGGGTAATGTACTGTGAGACCCCTTTAACTAACACTGCAAGTTCTTGCAGATTTGAGGAAGGAGCATTTAAGGGAAATTCAGGAGGAGGCGTTTTGTGTTCGACACATTACTGTAAGATGGCTGGTGTCATTTCAAATTTTTTGTTATCCCCGCAGGCCGATTAAGCACTTGTTTTGCTGCTTGCATTTTATGTCCTGTGATTTTTATTCATGCACCCGTATTAGATTTAATGCTTGTTACAGTACCTGTAAACTTCTACACCATCGTAGCTCAACCGTCAAGTGAATGACCATGACACATACCATTTATGAGGCCTCGCTTCACAGCATATTCTTTCCATTAGGTCTAAAACAGGCCCTACAGATGTAAAACTTTAAGAGGATGGTAAGTTTTTATGTTGCCTGTAAAAGTATGTATTTTAGCCAATCATATCATGGGCTTTATGTTCAATAGTGCGAAAGTGGGGCTTCTTTTTCCCAGCTGAACTGTGCACAGCAGCACCAGTCACCGCGAGGGCCCCGGCTTCATGAGAGGCTTGTCACATGATATCACATTTAAAAGGCAAGGTCGTCCGGCTCAGGGCAGCGCTTCAAAATATCAAGACGTCTCACTGCTGCAAAAGCGAGGCCAAAATGTCAGTGGAATTTGTTCGCCTTGAACTTTGTCGCTGCCCGCCTCCCACTCCACAACCAAAGCATTACCTGAGCCCAAACAAATTCGAAGTGGGCCAGGTCACTAAAGGTAGCCATTTATGAGAATGCGGCCGCTCAGACGAAAACAAGAAAGCAGTCTGTTCAGGGTCTGTTAAGTGGTTTTTATGGATGTGAATTCCTACAGGCCTCCTTCTTGGGAATTTGGTGGCAGAGAGGGACAAGCTGCACTGAATTAGTAAAGGCCTGGAAGTCTATCACTCAACTTAGGTCAAATCTCCTTTTAAATCCTGAAGGATCAAAGTCATGACACCTCTTGACCTAATATGCATGTTATTAAAATTGAACAATGTCATGATTCACCAGGAAAGGTTAACACAGATTAGTTAATGGGATGCAGGTGGAATGTTTTATTCAGTTTTTCCCCCTTTAAGGATTCTGCACCTGTGACAGGCTCCACATTTAGACTGTTCCACTGGTGGCTTCAAGCTCTTCATTGTGGTCGACCAAAGGAAAGATGTTTTTTGCAGATTTTATGTCGCTCTGTAGGAAAGCTGAAATCATCGAGCATCCCTTTCAAAATTAAATACAGCCTATGCACTTTTTATTCCTCTGCAGCTGACCTACTGCGGAAGAAAAACAAAGTATATCCTGAACTTTTTCACCAGACTTTAAAAAGAGAGCAAGCGGCCATCTTACTAATTTTAACTGTCAACCGTTAATTTCAACACATGGGCACGCGTGTCCCACAAAACCGAGAGCTGACTCCTTCCTGTGTCGCAAATTAAGCACCGGCTGAGCGATTTCAGTCATTTGAGGAATCAGGCCAGGCTGCTCTTTAATTTCCGAGGCACACCACTTATGCATGGCCGATGAGCTTGATGAAAACAAGCAAGCAGGTTAACAGGGACATGGTAAATTACACCTGCACACCTGGCCTAGAGGGAAGGTGTGACTTTGAGATAATGCTCAGCCCCCTACCGCTCCAACGCTGTTGGAACTGTGGAGCCATTGCGGATTATATCCAGAGGAGATGTGGAAAAGTCACAGCAAATCCTCCCAAAACAAACACACGAGGTGGGAAAGGGCGCGAGAAGAGTCCAGCATATAAATGATTACCCCCTAAAATATTGCCCAATGTCAATGATTTGTGCGTCTCAAACAAAAGCCAGGGTGCTTTCAATCTGGTTAAAGTGTAGTTTGCCTTTCCTCGTCCCCTTACTGTACATAAAAGGACAAAGGACTGCATTAATTCTGAGGGACGTCTCTGCCGCTACATTAGGATGCAAAGAGAGTAACTGTTGCCCTAAATTTGGTGTCTGTGGGAGTAAGCGTTTGTGCATGCATGTGTGTTTGTGCACATGCACTCATTTCTGTGCATGGCAAAGAGCAAGAGAGAGACAGAGATTATAGATGACACTAGAACTGCTCTAATCAGGGCAAGCTGGTCGCTGATCTCTTCATAGGGCGAGGGTGTCATTGATTGATGGCTGCACGAGTTGCTGATGTACACAGGTTGAAGGGTGAAGAGAGAGTCGCTGATCAGCCACGAGAGGCTGAAAATTGTGGGAACAACCGCTGGCTGTCTCTTAATAATGCAGCACGACGAGCCCCCATCTGAGACGCTGGGATCATATCACACATGCCCCTGCCGGTCGCCACGTGCTCGCGCCATGCCTGAACCCAGGGACGGAGATCTGAGATTCTGTTTTTGCGCATGATATAGCACAATTTGAATCTCAGTAACCAAGGGGCTGGGAGAGCAAGAGCACTGACCCATCCACAGCAGAAATGCTAAGCTGCCTATGAGGCGGGGTGGATATAATTAGCCCTGATTGGTCTGATTGAGTCTCCCATCCAGGCCTGGGTGTTGGCCCTTCAGGGATCATGATGACTGTCCGGGTATTAATTATTGAATAATAGTTGAAAGAATGGCAATGGTTAATGACACAAAATGAATGCTATAATCCATTGAATTGACATAATTAGAAATGGTGAGATTTCCCCTGAGGAATATATTCTCATCATGACCTAAAGTGGAGAGGGATGCCTGAAAAATGGACTGAGGCGATTCCTTTCCCCCCCTCCCTCCTCATGAGTCCATGAACGCGCCGTGGGAGAGCTGTCTGGCGGTGCTCGGCCAAATATCCGATCATGTGTTAGTAAAGATGGTCAAAAATAGCGAGTCATCGCAGTAACTGGAGAGGCTGAAGTCAGGAAGCGGTTCGGTTTATGCTGTTTGAAATGAGCTGGCCAGAGAGAGCGGTCAGCCTTGCGTGTCTCATATTAAGTTTGGCAAAGAGAAGCGATATTATCTTCTCCTGGTTAGAATAAGTATTACTAAATGTGATTGGCTAATGAAGGCGGTCAGGCCTCAGTGACCACCGTGCTTTGCAGCTACTGCTGGCTTGGCTGCATGTAGGCACGGAGTCTTGAGGGAGTTTGTTTCGGGTCAGTGACGGCATAAGAGCTCAATACAGCATTGCAGAGTCAGGCTGGGGCCTTTCCTCTGTCTGCCTCACTGACTGGCTGCGCTGGGTAGAGGCGCAACAGTAGTGGCATACTGATGCCGACGATGATGACAGTATAAATATTGATGATGTAGATGGCAACAGAAGCAGTAAACATGAAATTATAACCCTGATGACCAAAGTGTGATGCTTAACAGTTTTTTTTATTACCTCCTTGTTGTGTTTTTTTGTGAGTCAAGACAGACAGGTTTGGTTTCCACGGCGCTCTGAGAGATCACGATGAGACGCCTGGAGTGAAGCGTGGGCGCACTGTCGCACAAGATGACACGTATTCAAACGTCCTTTTGGGATCTGGTTGGAGGTTGTTGTATATTTAGGGGGAAGCTATGGTTGGTGGGGGCAGCGCTGATGTCATGGTGGGATGGTGGGATGGTGGATCGAGAAGAGGGCGATGAGATACGCCAGCAGTGGTCCCTGGAGGCAGCTAACAACCACAGAGGAGGCAGTTAGGGAAGCTATGCGCCATCGTCGTTATAAATCACAGATTCTGCCGTATGGTTAGGATGATTACTCTCAGTGCCATCACGTGAACCTGTACATGCCTTCACTGTTTGTTTTCCCACTCCCCAGACTCTCCGCGATATGCATAGAGTGTTGACTCAGTTGTACTAGTTTTATTTATATATTTTGCCCCTCTTGCACTTTTTTCTTGTGGTAGCTTTGCATTGAGTGGTGCAGCGGTGAGG